CAATAAAAATCTGAAAATTTATGTAAATCAAATCGGAACTTTAATAGTTAGTAAAGCATGTTCAACGAACTCTAAGAGCGCTTTTTTGTTTTGGTTTTTTAATGCTGTCTGATGGATGATGATTGTATAAAGCGCAAGTGTGTTATTTTTGTGTTCTTCCTTTTCATTTCTATTCTCGTCGCGATTACGGACACGACATCATACACACACGTCTCGTTTGCTTTGTTGTTTTGTTTATTAGAAAGGAACATGTGCTCAGCATCCAGAGAGCGTACATGTGCAATTGTGCATTGATATCCTTGCGGTCACGTCACGCGGAACAAACGGTAGGTAGGTACAGTTCCCACGGTAACTGGTGATACATATAGAATAAGTACTAGTTGAACTGCAAACTGCTTTATGTCCATTGATAACTTACATTCACTATTATGGTCCTGCGCAGACCTGGGACTTTTGTCCGCGTGGACTTATTTGTCCACCAAAATAGATCGCTTACAACTGCATCTAGTAACGCAAACGAAGGATTAAAAGTTCCGCGTACAAAAAGTCCCCCGAACAATCGAGGACACTGACAGACCGGACTGGAAAAAAAACACGAGTGTCCCCGAAAAAAATGTACTTATGTCACTAAGCGCAGCAACGCGCTATGGACCCGGTATTCTCTTTTCAAACCTCTTCTTTTTTTTTACCCGACTGCGCAATACAAAATGCGCGACGCGCAGACAGGGTGTAGTGTTTTAAGCACACTAGAGGCCAAACGCGTGGAACGATTTTGATGATTCATTAACCGACTTCAAAAGAGGAGGTTCTATGTTCGACTGTATATATTATTTTAATGTATGTTCACCGATTTCTCCGTCAATTGTGGACCGACTTCAAAAATTATTCATCCCATTGGAACCAAGTCAGGATCTGAAGGTGGAATCCGGAGAAATGGAGGGAAACCTTCAAATTTCAAAGGCACGGCAAGGATGAAATGAAAAAATTTAAACAAAAAAGATAAACGACTTCAAAATCAAAAATGGAACTAAAAAGTAAAAAATAATATCTGGTTCATGATTTGGAAGTCGGGCCGGGTCAAGATTGAAACATTAAATAGATTTTCGTTTTAACAAAAACAATTGGCGGAGAAATCGGTGAACATGCATAAAAAACATCGTGCGTGCCTTTGAAATTTGAAGGTTTTACGTCAACCGATTCGTCTTAATTATGGGAGTGCTACTAAAGATATGATAGTTATTGTAATACAATATAAGCGTGCGACTCTCTTAAGTTAAGGGCAACAAATGTTCGCTCACCGTGTGTGCGTTGAGCCTGTGATCGGCGGACATTTTTTTCACGATGTAGTCCCTCGTCAGCGCCGGCCATTAAGGTTGATACAAATTTCAATACTTTGCCATTTCGTGTAGATGCAATAAATATCCGAAGATACTCCAATGAAATAATTGTCACAGTTATTGGTAATGCTATGGATCATGAGCACGACGCACTCCACAAAATTTTTATTATCTGAGTTATAAAATGCCCGTAAAAAGTTCATAAAGCGAGTTATTTCATACTTAACGTTCTAAATTTTCATGTACCGTGAGATTATTAAATATTTTTCATTACTTTAAAGGTTGGAACGCAGTGGCACGTTACAAAGAGAATTTGAATGTCGGTTTAATATAATATATATGTATTTTAAACCAAAATTGAATATTAATATCCATGGGCTATTGAATTCGATGCGGACTTAATCATATTACTTAAGCTAAAAGGGTACCTACCAATTTGTGTTATATTTTTATCGATTTGCTACACTGACGAACCGCTTACTCATTCTACTATTTCGGTACTAAGAGCTTTAGTCATAAATTCCCTTAACTTTGGTTGTTTTATTTCGTGTTGTGTTCCGAAAGCTGATTCAATTTGCAACGAAGAAATAGAATTATACAACTTTCAGACTGAGTGCGCGAGTGCTTGAGACTATTACTCATTCCGTAGTAATAGTTTCTACTTAAAACGTAGTTTATTTATTGTATGAATAGCGGCCCAGATAGATGTTGTAAACAAGCTTAAAAAGTATAAAAGCTATCCATAAACTCGACTGCAGCGCTGCATGCCGGGTGGAGTTGTATGTTAAGTTTTATTAAATTTCTGTACAACATTTTTCCATTTTTACAGAGTATTAGAAAACTTAAATAAAATTGTGGATAAAATCGGTAAAGCGTTCTCAAGTAATGACGCGACCAAGAGATTATTTTTTTTGTAATGATAAAATAAAAATAAATAAATCTAGTTTCAAAGAAATAAATAAATCGTCAGAATAATATGCAAAATTCTGACGATGCAGACCTGAAAAAGGCTGCGAAACGTCAATAAATAAATAAAGTTGGTGCATTAACCCGTTAAAACTAGTTTTATTTAATGAGTTATGTGCGTGAAAACCTAAGAAACAAACATAAAAATAAATGTTGATTTTATTCATTCTTTCGTATTTGTTGTTAAAGCGGCAACAGAAATACATCATCGGGGATAATTCCAACTGGCTAGCTGTCACGGTTCATTAGATACAGCCTGGTGACAGACATACAGACAGACGGACAGAGGAGTCTTAGTAATAGTGTCCTGTTTTTAACCTTTAGGTACGAAACCCTAAAAAACTATTACACTTTGAAGGCAGTCATGTTATAAAGCTCAGCTATTCGTTTGTAAAGCAAACGCCAGCCAGAGGTGATACATTCGATTGGTTTTAACATTCATAGAATACATTTTGCGGTTAATATAAACACAAAAACATGAATAACTGAAAATGTCATAGCAAATTATTCACTAAAATCTATTGTGGTTGTAGACTACAGTTTGCTTTTGAAGATCTCATGTTATTATATATAATCCATTCTGCATGCCTTAATATTGTTCCGTAAAATTCCAAAGAAATTATAAAACTATTAATAAACAACGCTTAATTTTATGTTAAGAAGGAGGGAATAGCATACCCCATTTAAGGAAGTAACCTCCCCTTTACAGAAGGGCACAGTAAAAAAAACTCATTTGGGAGTGTCATATTTTTATCGTCTTCCAAAAATCGAGAAGGTTCTCAATTCTTTGGAATCTGATTTTGTTAGTGACTAAGGTTCTAAGACGGGTAATAGAGAATTTGGTTCAGACAAGAAAAGGATACCTGAAGCCGTACATTTTTCCACCTCATATATTATCTTTACAACCGGATTCCACGCACACTTTTTTTCTTTAAATTACATATGTTATTATCAGCGGATGGGTCCTCCTAGTAAGTTGAATATAAAACCCACTGCATTTACGATGGTGAGGGCAATTTGGTGTCTTGTAAAAAGCCTTAGTACACTAACGAATCATTATACGGTGACGTCTATAACCGTAGAGCAATAAACGCGCGATCCGAAAGGCATAAAGATATACAAAGAGCCATGGGGCCAAAAATCATTCGCGTATTGTAAATGAGAAGACTGTAGTGCCCGCGACTTAAACTGCGTGGAAACTTTGGTTTTCCATACAAACTTTCGCTCCTTTAAAACGATGATTTGTAGGATAAAAAATTTAATGTCCTTTTCTGAGACTCAAACTATACCAAATTTAAGAGTTCAGTGGTTTATGAAAATTACATTTCCATGCCAAATGGGGCTGATCGCGGCTGTACAATTTGTGTCCGTGATGCTAGCGTACCCACGATCAATATACGGTTTTTCGTTATGCCATTAAATACTGCGTAAATAGTGCCAAATTAGTGTAAAAATTAAAATAATAGTGCCTCTTTAATTTAAGAAATAAAGACCATTTTTACTGTGTACGCTACCATGACATCAAGCTAGCGTACCCATGGCCGACCCCAAGAACGGCATATATTTAAGCAACGAAATTGACACACAAAATAGTGCGCAAATAGTGCCCTGGCTTTACAAAATTTCATAATCAATACTGTTAAAGGACCAAAGATATTGAACTAAACATTCTTAGCTGGCGTCAATCTGGCGTACCTACCCATAATAGTTCTCATAGAAAATGAACTTTTTCCGTTACCAATTCTATATGTATAAATAGTGTGTCAAATAGTGCCTGTAGCAGTAAAAGTATTTTATGTTAATTCGCAGTAAAACAATATAAAAAAAGCAATTAAATTATTTTTATATATGAAGTACAGTCATGTACAGAAGTGATAATATTTTCGTAGTATAGTAGGTAAGTAAGGTACTTAATAGGTAGTTTGAAATTCTTATATGAATTTATGATTGGTGAATTCGAATTGAAATAAAATATCTTTTCATAAAAAGTACCTATTTATTTTAGTAAAAATACATAGATAATCTCTTAGTGCATAAATTAATTTTGTGTGTAACAGTACTACAATACATTTGTTCCTAGAATTTAACATCCTCTTTATGTATTGTTGTGATGCGGATTCACATAAAATACTGTTAGAGGCACTATTTGAGACACTATTTATACATATAGAATTGATAACGAGAAAAGATCATTTTCTATGAGAACTATTATGGGTACGCCAGGTGGACGCCAGCTAAGAATGTTTAGTTCAATATCTTTGGTTCTTTAAGAGTATTGATTATGAAATTTTGTAAAGCCAGGGCACTATTTGCGCACTATTTTTGTGTGTCAATTTCGTTGCTTAAATATATGCCGTTCTTGGGGTCGGCCATGGGTACGCTAGCTTGACGTCATGGTAGCGTACACAGTAAAAATGGTCTTTATTTCTTAAATTAAAGAGGCCCTATTTTTTTAATTTTTACACTAATTTGGCACTATTTACGCAGTATTTAATGGCATAACAAAAAACCGTATATTTATCGTGGGTACGCTAGCATCACGGACACTACAATTTAACACCCATGAAACTTTTAACCCGTGTGTCACAAATAAAGTACATATTTGATTTGAAAGAGGTAACAGACAGAACGATAGGGAGACACCCATTCGCATTTATAATATAAGTATGGATTCATATTGAAGTGGTTTCCGCCCAGTGGCCGGTCGCAAGCTGACGACCGCCGGGCGCCGAGTGCCGGGCGGCATGGGTGGGCCGCTGATGAAGTCCCAGACGCTACCCCGATCCATGGGCAGGTCCTCGTCGCAGCCAAACAGCTCCAACGGCTCGTACAGCCGGTACCCGGTCAAGCCTGCCTCGACACCGCCCGCTGTGAAAAGACAGCTCTCTGTAAGTATGTTTAAAATGAAAATGGAATGAAACTTTTATTGGCCAACTTAACAAAAGAAAAACTTATAAATACAACAATAATAAAAAAAAATACAAGAAAACTTAACCTAATGAACAAAAAAGAACATAATTATCTAAGATGGCTTTCAGGACCCTGCCTCAGCTTATGCTGACACAGTGAGAAAGTACTTTATCACTGTATCAGCGCTGGTATTCTGTTTGACGGAAAGTTTTGGTTAAAAGTAGCAGTGGTAGCGATGTAGGAGTTTGTTTATGTAGTATAGGTAGCGGCAAAATTCTTGAGCAGAATCATAGACAAATAAACTTGCGCAGTAAAGGTTTCTGTTTATAATATATCTACTGCTCAGGCTTCCTTGTTTAATGCCGTTGCTCAAGAAAATTGCCTGGGTGTATACTTGTGTACAGATAATGTATTTTTGTTTTCTTAATAAGTGCACTATTAAGGTTCGCGCCCATAATGTCGTGTGCGCGATCCTTTAATATTTACAACTTTATTTAGTGATTAAATCACAGTTATAAATCTAGTGAAGTCTCTGATTACAGAACTAGGTGTGTGTAGTAATTGTATCTCGGAAATTAGCCCTCGATTCATGCCAGCATAAACATTATTAATTAAGTTTGCACTAGCATATTATTCATTTTATTAATTTGTTATTATATTAATTAAGGACACAAAAACAAATCATGTGGCCTGCTATGTCTACGAATAATGCTTGCGACAACTGAGATATCACACAGGAACGCTACACATTAGAATAGTGTTTTCTGGTCTCCTGTTATTAGCTTGATCTAAGTAAATGGAGACAGCGTTTTGTTGCCAGTTCATCTCCTTTGACTTCCCGAACTGTTTCCGTTTCACGCCTGTTGACCTAATATGAAATTAATTTATCAAAGAAATTATTGTGTAATTTTACTCCTTTGATTATTTACTCCCTAGATAGAGTGTGGCAGCGCAGATGCGTTGAAAAATATATCTCCCACCTGGTGGGGTCTAAGTCATTTTCCGTTACTTAGTGTTCAATGCAACGCTGAGCGATACGCACGTTAGTTTCGTATTGAAATTATTACTTATAAATGCCGCATAGGGACGCATAAAAACAACCAAAAAAGTCACTTCACATCACATAAGTTAAGAAAATTACGACTCCATCTTGACAGTTTCAAAGGTATATTAGTGTCTCATTATAAAATTAAAAAAAAAAGTAAGTGCGGCGTAATCAAAAATTAGTATGGATGGAATTCCATAAATGAAGAAAGAGTTTCGATTAAAAAAATACTGATAACGAACAAGTGAACTCCGCAATTTCTACTAATAAAACTAAAATTTTACACGACGCCACTTTGGAGTTGATAAACATATAACAGTTGGATGCTTTAAATAATAAGGCGGAAATTAGTTAATGGTTTGATAATATTTTTTTATTGTTATAGTAAATAGTTATTTATTTGTTTCTTAGGTTTTTATTAAATAAAATTATTTTTCACGGGTTAATGCACGAAACTTTATTTATTTATTTACGTTTCAAATAGTTATTTACTAGTTCAATGTTTAAAAAAAAGTATACCTAATAATTATGACCAAAAATTTTTTTTTAATAGTTGTGTACCAATAATTACACCATTACAATTATATTTTAACGTCATAAAGTTTACAAGATTGTAAAACACAAGTTTTGCGTCACAGCCATGTATAATATGATTTTTTTAAAGATAAATAAATGAAACTACTAAATTCAGGGAATAAATCATCATAACACAAAGAAGTCTTTTTAATCTTTCTTTCTATATTATCATGACTGTAATTTCCGTATTAAACTGGTAAAAGTAAATAAAATTTTGTAAAAAAATAAATAAATATCCAAGTACTAATTTATACGTTTTACAGACGTTTCAACGTCTTTCGATTTTTAATTTTTTACTATGTGAACAACATATAATTTTGATTTGATTATGTTTACCCATTTTTTTTGGGAATGTGTCCTAATCTGCTAATAAACAATCATCGTGCGCAGGCGTAATAATCATTCGCATGCGTACTGAAACACAAATAATGACATTTCGCGTGTGTAAGATACAATATACGCGTCTTTTGTTTTGCGTCAAGTATATGAAACCTGGCCTGTTTTAATCGCAGTGCAGGTGACGCTCTAACTAGAGAGTAAATAATCAAAGCTTTACTCCTACGACGATCCCTTTAATTTAATATTTGGGAAAGCGAAGAAGTTGTCACAGAAGAAATCTAATTAGATTTCAGTAAAGTTTAGCTTTGAAGGAGTACAGACATTGAGAAAAGCGTTATCAGAATGAGTTAGACAAGCACAAAATCAGAAAGAGAATTCTTTGATCATACTCACTTAACCATTCATACCTCGCTTGTAACACATTGCCACTAACTACCATTCATCGTCACCATCGTTTCATTCTCACCCGCGTCTCATGATCAGAGCGCGTACCAGGTGCCAGTGAACGGGTCTCCGGTCAGAAGAGCGGTCGGAGGCGGCTCCCAGCGAGGAACGCCCACAAGAAGCCGCACCCCACAATCTTCGCTGTCCGTGAGGGGCGTTGACCCTAAACTAGTCCAGCTGATCCTGGACGAGATTGTAGAAGGAGGCCCGAAGGTGCATTGGGACGATATAGCCGGCCAAGATGTGAGTATAAACTTCTTTCTACTAACTCTCTCTCTCTAAAACTGGCCCAGGTGATACTCGACGAGATCGTGGAATGTGCATATTGGGACGGTATCACCGGACCAGATGTGAGCATTAAACTTTTTTTATTAGCAATGAAAGATTCTTAAATGAGATGTTAATAGAAGCCTTAGCCCCCTATCTACACTGTCTGTGCAGGGCGATGACCCAGCGTTGGTTCAGCTAAGCCTACATGCAATCAAACGATATCACAGACTAGGATGTGAGTTATTAAACCATTAAACCAACGTCATTTCATTATGTTATGTAGGAATAGATCTATCAGTCACTATTACTGTATACTGTCTTTGTAAATTTACCGCTCAGAAGTTCGCTGTGGATCATCTTGCAAAATGTTAATCCAATCCCGAGAGCTGCAAGCTTAAATGCTCTTTCTTAAACCTACCAAAATCTATAATTATACTAACGATTTATGTTTCGTTCTTTTGTTTATAGGCTGCGAAACAAGCGCTGCAAGAGATGGTAGTTCTACCGTCATTGAGGCCAGAATTATTCACGGGTCTGAGGTCACCGGCAAAAGGTCTCCTGCTATTTGGACCTCCTGGAAATGGTACGTAAAATTCATCTTTGTTGAATGTTTTATTATAATAATTATGATCGATATCCCCTTTTGCAAAGCAAAATATTAAAACAGCGACAATTTGGAGTTGATTAATTTAAGTAAATTTGCACACAACTTCTTTTTTAGAAGCCGGTTGACTGCCAGTCGTTTTCAACAGACAATACAGACATACCCGTGCAAAGATGGGAAAGCATACGTTTCCCGTATATTTCTATCATTCTTAGTACTATTTATTTCTTAGGTTTTCACGCACATCACTCATTAAATAAAACAGTTTTAACGGGTTATATGCACTAAATTTATTTATTTATTGACGAATTTCTGAAGATACATTCCTGAAAAGAAGGCGAAATGTCAATAAATAAATAAATTCAGTGCATATAACCCGTTAAAAACTGATTTATTTAATGAGCGATGATTTTATTCTTAGTAATATTCCAGATTTTACTCTTTTTCTCCTACAGATTTGAAATTATGAGTGGAAACTTTATTTCGTAGCTCGTAAGGTTCAAATTAGCAGCTACATATTTTCTCGCACTTATTTGACAACTTCATATCGTACGCTGCAAATAAGAATCTCATTTTATTATCATAGAGTATTTTATTGTTTATCAGGTAAAACGCTACTGGCTCGGTGCGTAGCCGCCGAGTGTTCCGCGACGTTCTTCTCGATATCAGCGGCGACTTTGACGAGTAAATACGTCGGCGACGGCGAGAAGATGGTGCGCGCACTCTTCCAAGTCGCGAGAGAACTTCAGGTATATGTATACTACTTTATTTCCCTTCGGCCGTCTACGAAACCAGAGTTGCGTAACTGGTTTCGATGAAGGAATTATTTTTCCTTGTACAGCACTAGTTGCGATGGAAGAATTATTCTTCTTTGTACGGTCCACCCTTAACATTTAGGGGGAAGAAAAATAGATGTTGTCCGATTCTCAGACTTACTGAATATGCTTATAAAGGAGATTGCTCAAATTGGCCCAAATGCACAAAAAATATTGACATACACGGTAATTCTTGACGTAATTTATAATTTAATTTACAGTCATTAGATTTCAACGGACACCTTTGTATAAATTATTCACTTTAAAAAAGAGTTTTAATTTTACCGGTTTGGAAAGTATACGAATCATTTTTAATGGCTATGGGTGTAGTAACATTCAGCCAAAGACTGATCGAAGTTGTTTATATAACATAAAAACAAATCTATTTTGTAAAGATCGATAAAATAAATCATTTTTTTTATTACACTGTGGTATTAATATCCACAACTATATTATCATTTTTACTACATGCAAATGTGCTCAGACAATAATTGTTTATTATAGATGGTAGGCGTCATCATAAAGTCCATTGCCATACATTTTTCGCCAAACACCTCCATTAACACATTATAATCTGTATATATGTTAGACCAATGTTAGACTTTAAGGTATATATCTATCGGCCTACGTTGCCTGACTATAAATTAATAAATAAATAAACTTATAAGGTGTGATACACTAAGATACACTAAAAATCTAAAATATGGTTATATTAAAAACATAACAAAAATAATGAAGCTACTGAATATATGGCTATATAACCTAAATCTCTTAGCTTTCTTTGGTTAACGAGAGTTTAAAAATTCTCTCTAATCTGTGGCTCATTCACAATCATCACACAGTTTCTGTCACAGAGTACCTTATTATAACCGGAAACGACACCTGATTTTAAAAGTTACTCATAGGCATTAACTTTAAAAACAGGCAACTATCTGTTAATCTACATGCTCTATATACCTGAATCTAATCGATGATTTCGGTACTTGGCTTGATTTCTCTAGTTTACTATATAACTTATCTGTTTTGTATTATTTTAATATGTTCAGTGTATATGGTTAATAGAAGTTCTCAGGGGTGTCCGTCAATAATATTCGTTTCTACAGTAATTTAAATATAATTTATAATTAATTTAATATAATTTCGAATCTATGAAACAATTTTTCATGATTATTGGTCTTTAGGCCAAACATGTATGGAAGCTGAGCAATCTCCTTTCACGAAAATCGGTCGAGCCGTTTCGGAGTAGATCAATTACGCACACCGTGACACGAGAATTTTAAATATTGTAAAGAAGTAAGGTTTATTTGTAGGAAGTAAATAATCTCTGGAAATACCGTTATTTTTAATTCTTCTATTAAGTAGCAAGCAATTTTATCACGTTAAAATATTTTTTACTCGTCAAACACGGAACGAGTCGTTGGTAAGTTATGTTATCTTACTAACATGTGATCTAAATACATGTGTCAACCTAATGACACATATACACATCCCAAGTCAATGTTCTTGGCACCGAATATTTCGACTCAGCTTTTTCAGTTGACCGAGTTCGCGTCTATTTTAAAGATTCGTCTAATTATCCGTAGATACTTTCATCATAAAACTACGCCAATTTTATACTTATAAAAATACTTCCTTTGTATGAATCTGTTAGCGGCGTATAGAGTATTAGAGAGAACGATATTTCTTTCTCGCACGTTACTCAGAATAGCATGTGCGAAAGGGACAGAACGTCTTACGTCGTCATTTGCGATTCCTTTCTTTTAATGACAACGAGTTATTTATTTTTTTGACGACCTCCGTGGCCGAGAGGTTTGTACGCCGGGATTCATGGTGTCGCCGGCTCGAGAGGTCCCGGGTTTGAGTCCCGGTGGGGGCAGATGTTTGTGTGATGATTACGAACTAGACTTGCAACGAATAGTATATTCGGCAGTATACCGAATACCGAATATTCGGCGAAGCCCCGAACCGAATAGCCGAATATTAGGCAAAAGTATTCGGCTGGATTTTAGTGCCAAAAACTTGTACAGACGTGATTGTTTCGCGCTCCTTTGTTTTGTTCTAATGTACTCATCGCCCGCGCGCCCGCTGTTGTTCTGATCTTTTCTTAAATATTAGTAATATATCACGACATGACAACCCGTATACATGGTGGCAAGCAAGGAAATTTGAATTTCCATGTTTGATTAAGATTGCAGCAAAATATTTGTCGGCGCCAGGAAGTAGTGTTTATTCAGGGCGCCTTTTCCCTGAAGCTGGGATGGTCTACGAGAAAACAAGAACTAAACAGCTTCCTTAAAAATGCAGAAAAGTTAGTCTTTCTGCACCATAACCTTCCCCTTCTAAATTTTGAATATGAAAAAATTCAAATGCATAGAAAAATTCTTAACTTGTTTAAAATTATGTACCTGTTTTATGTACCAATGACTACTTAATAAATATTTATAAAAGAAATGAGAACCTTACCCTTCTAAATTTTGATTACCACAATAATTCAAATACATAGAATCCTCCAATTTCCAATTCAGAAGATGATATTATGTACCAATGCCTACTTAAATGATAATATATAACAGAAATGAAAATATGATTATATACGTAATCAATCGATTTTAATTTTTCATTTAACCAATTATTTCTCTATGATAAAATATATTATTTAAGTATTCGGTATTAGGCCGAATAATATGTAGATATTCGGTATTCGGCCGAATATAATAAAAGAAGCCGAATAGGCCGAATACCGAATAGTAACCGAATATTCGTTGCAAGTCTAATACGAACATTTGTACTCCAGTTCACTCCATTAAACATCATGTTTACTATACTTATATATGTACAGTATATGTATTCTATCCGTTACCCTAGCATCCCATAACACAAGCCTTACAGTGCTAACTTTGGGACTAGGCTAATTGGTGTGAGTGTTGGAAATATTATTATTTAGTTATATAAAGGTTTTCCTCTAGCCGTCGATAATATTCGTGGACGAAGTGGACTCCTTGCTGTGCGAACGTTCGAGCGGGGAGCACGAGGCTTCTAGACGTCTTAAGACCGAGTTCTTAGTAGAATTCGATGGTCTGCCAGCCGCTGGGGCCGATCGGCTTATAGTGATGGCGGCCACCAATCGACCCCAGGAATTGGACGAGGCGGCACTTAGGTGAGTAAATACATCAAATACACCAATTTCACATACTAAGGCCCGTATTATAGAAAAATTCTCAGTGATTGATCTAGTCTTGAGCATAGTTAGAAAGGGATGTCGCTATATATAGCACATAGCGGCATCCCTTTCTAACTGTAGTCAAGTAAAGATCAACACTTAGTTGTCATTCTGCAATACGGGCCTTAGTGTTACCGCCTTCTGGGTATAAAATCTTTCATGATCACTAACATTACAGTCATCATCAACAGTCTATTAATGTCCCCACAGCTGGGGCACAGGCTTTCCGTCGTCGTCAGGAATAGGGAGATTTGGCCATGACCCACCACGCGCGCCCAGTGCGGATTGGCTGGTGCTAACGACTGCAGATGCAGCCGGGACCAACGGCTTAACATACCTTCCGAAGCATGGAGGAACTCGAGATAGAATATTTTTGGTCACCCATCCAATGACCTACCACTGCGAAAGTTGCTTAACTTCAACAATCGCAGCCGAACGCGCTACCCATCAAGCTCGTCGACCTACATTTATTAACATTAATGAATCAAAATCAGTTCCTGGGGAAATTCGATGGTCTGCCAGACACTGAGACAGATTGACTTATAGTAAGCGAATATTGAATTTTCAATACTATTCATTTCTTTTAAAAAATGGAGTTCTTTTTGACAAAGTTTATTTACTATTATCATCTTTACAGACGATTTCCTAAACGCGTGTACGTATCGCTCCCCGATCTACGTACGCGTAGTGCGTTACTACGTAGAGTTTTGGCTAGAGGCGCAGCCGCTTCTGCTATAACGGAGGATGAATTGGCTCGACTGGCGGCACTTACGGATGGCTACTCGGGCAGTGATCTTACTGCCTTGTGTCGAGACGCGGCATTAGGACCCATCAGGGGTGAGTCTATACTTATATTATGTCTCATATATTGGTTATGCTGGCTAAAGGTGTGTTAGATATAACGGAAGATGAATTGGCTCGACTAGTGGCACTTACGGATGGCTACTCGGGCAGTGATCTTACTGCCTTGTGTCGAGACGCGGCATTAGGACCCATCAGGGGTGAGTCTATACTTATATTATGTCTCATATATTGGTTATGCTGGCTAAAGGTGTGTTAGATATAACGGAAGATGAATTGGCTCGACTAGCGGCACTTACGGATGGCTACTCGGGCAGTGATCTTACTGCCTTGTGTCGAGACGCGGCATTAGGACCCATCAGGGGTGAGTGTATACTTATATTATGTCTAATATATTGATTATGCTGGCTAATGGCGTGCCAAATATAACGGAAGATGAATTAGCTCGACTAGCGGCACTTACGGATGGCTACTCGGGCAGTGATCTTACTGCCTTGTGTCGAGACGCGGCATTAGGACCCATCAGGGGTGAGTCTATACTTATATTATGTCTAATATATTGATTATGCTGGCTAAAGGCGTGTCAAATATAACGGAAGATGAATTAGCTCGACTAGCGGCACTTACGGATGGCTACTCGGGCAGTGATCTTACTGCCTTGTGTCGAGACGCGGCATTAGGACCCATCAGGGGTGAGTGTATACTTATATTATGTCTAATATATTGATTATGCTGGCTAAAGGCGTGCCAAATATAACGGAAGATGAATTAGCTCGACTAGCGGCACTTACGGATGGCTACTCGGGCAGTGATCTTACTGCCTTGTGTCGAGACGCGGCATTAGGACCCATCAGGGGTGAGTCCAATTCCAAAACATTCCGGAGCACGGGGGAACTCGTGATAGAAGATTTTTGGTCACCCATCCAATGACCGACCATTGCGAAAGTTGCTTAACTTCAACGAACGAGCAACTAGCTACCAGCGCCATCGAGCTCCTCGCTCTATATATACTCTCTTTAAAATAACCTTTACCTGTGTCTAAGAATATATCGCAAGCTCAAATGCATTTTTTGTCCCCAGAACTGGACCCTGAGGAAGTGAAATGCCTGGACTTGTCGTTAGTTCGGAGCATCACGTTCCAAGACTTCATGGACGCTTTGAAACGTATTCGTCCATCGGTATCACCGCACAGTCTACTGGCATACGAGAAGTGGTCAGTGCAATATGGCGACTTGGGTCTCTGAGGAAGGCGCTCTTCCAATACAGGTATACTGTTAAACTAATCAATCATAATCATAATCAAAACCATTTAACCAGTTTAGGCTGTTACAAGCACATATGAATGTCAAGAAGCTACGACATCGGTTCGAAAATCTACGGCGGAAGATCTTTTACTGAAAGGAACCGGCAAGAAACTCAGCAAGGGCTGTTTTTTTCTCCCTTTTTTATTATTTACAGAGTCATCAAGTTGAAAAATGACTTCAGAGATGATTCATGAATAATGTGAAAATATACATAAATTGTTCACCTGCATTTTAATACAGGATATGACTGTGTCATACAGTATAAATACAAATAGAGTTATTTACTATAGGTGTAACTAAACATTTACATCTTAAATATCAAAGTAGTTAGGGCAGACTCGTTCAAACAGCAGCAAACTTATAGTTACATTTTCATCAGTGTTTCCTAAAATGCGACTGATGTACTATCTGTCGTCGCGTCTGGATTCCACCGTCAGGTGTGGCAGAGTCATTTGCTCGTACCTATACTATAAAATATCATTTTGCAGTCGAAGAAAACTTTCAGCAATTAAATAAAAACAGATCCCTGTTAGAGAATATTTTAGGAAAAGAAAGAGGTTGAATAAGGTGATGGCGGGTGATCGTGCACATACCCAAAAAGAGAGGAGAAATTCAATTAAAATTATTAGTTTCTTTAAAACATTACATTCATGTTTATCACTACACTTACTATTAAGTAATTAACTGAAATTCAAAAGGTTGACTAAGCTACTACTAAATTTGTATTTATTTAAGTAGGTACGTTTTACCTATAAGATAATTGTATTTTTAAGTTTTAGACATTAAGTTATAATATTAACTTATTTTTTTCAGGTATTGACTGCAGAAGAAAGGTGAGTCACTAATTTTATAAGAAAGTATTCAAAGAACAGTGTAAGAACTTGTAAGTGATTTTATTTTATACAATGCAACGCTCAATATCTTCGGATCATACTTGAGAACAAACATTTTGTTTCCTGTTATTTTATCGACGGCGATTCAGCAGTAAAGTGACATAATATGTGTTTAATGTTCGTTGAAAATTCGATATTATTGTATTGTAATGGAGTACGTTATGGCGTCTAGTCAGTTTACCGGTATTTGGAGAGCGTTAAAAATATTATCTAAGTGTTTAATGTTCGTTGTAGATCACCGGCTTTTATAAATATAACTAAATGTGTACGGACGACGAACAATAATTCGTAACTTATAAAAGATAATGACACTGAGGAAACATGTAAATCTTATTCCTAATATAAAATCAATAAAGCCAATCACTGACAGATAATGCAATTCGACTGAATAAAGAAGCGCTTTCGATGTTCTAGACGTGCAAGGGAATGCTTACGTGTGCTCAATACTTCTTTACTCGGCCGGGTTACATTAACCCAGTTGTATAACCCGTCCAAAATCAAAAGTGTGTTGTTGTTTAATGGCCTCTATGTCATAAATGCGCTTTTGAAAAGGCAGTGTTATCCTTTTGGCTTACATGAAGATGAAAATTTGTTGTTTGACATTTTTGAAAGTGAGAAAGAGAGAGATTCTGATAAAATTAACCATTAATGTACTAATCTGTGAAAATAAACCCTATCTTTTGAATATAAAATTATGAATGAAGTTATTCTACGCTATTGTTGTTTTTATTAACTTAATTGCATCAGTATATAAATAATAATTTGATTTGTATTACATATAACTTGCTTTATCTTTGAAAATGATGAATAAAATTGTTATATAATAATAGTCTTCACACTTTCTCAAGTAGTACCTCATTTAGTTAGATAAAATATTTATTAATTTGTTGCATTAATTTTTATTGTAGCTATATACAAACCAAATTTTTGTAAATTGACAGCCCTTATATTTTGAAACCCAGGATCCCTATTAGAAACCTTTAAAAAATGTAATTATTATAGTTTTATTTTAAGAAATCGTACAAACTAGCTGTACTTTAATAGGGTTGTCAATCTGCCAGTGAAATGAAATAGCATTTTAGTTCTTTGTAGAATATTACTTTTACCATTATTTATTTAAATTGTATTTTTTTTATATTTATACGTAATAGATTATATTGTTATTTATTACCGAACCATGTGACTATTTGCCTATTTTGACATTTCTATTGTTCTGTGTATAGAACAAATACCATATTACCACCACTCTGCCATTTGCATTTTAACATACTCTCGGCTTGGTGCGAAGACTTCGCCTGAAATGTATTGAAATTAAATTTACACTGCTTTATTTTATGTGATGGATTCATACATCGTTTGATAATCAAAATTGTTTTCATGTGACTGTTGACATAATATATTTTTATAATTGTCTATGAAATTTTTATTTTGATTGAAATTTGTTAAAAAAAATCTATTGATCTTTACGTTATATTTTAATGTTATATCAATAATGAATTGTTTTATTAATAGTAGCAGTTTTCATATTTAATGCTCTTTTAATATACAACGTTTATTGTAATGCTGCAAATCTTATGAGTAGTTTGTGTTATTATCAACAACGTTATTAAAAACGGTTTTTAATATCGTTGGTTATTATTTATAATTAATGATTTGAACAGTGAAAAAGGGTAGTTGCCATTTCCTTTACACTTTAAGCTGAGAACAAAAAGTTTGCTCAATACATACTGTATCATTGTGTATTTGAGCAGAGGAAAAAAAACTAATGATAATATAAAATAAATATATTTTCATAATAGTTTGTTGTAACAAATGTGTCTATCTCTTCGATTTAATGTTATTATTGGATTAATATCAATTATTGGACCACGCGATTGCATATTATAGTGTCGAAATAGTGTGCCATTTTCAAGTATTTTACGCGACTAATCGAATGGACAATCGAGATCATATTCCACTTTGCCAAATAACAAACAGCGATATTTGTAGGATTCAAAAATTTGTATCATTGTTGTTAAACATTTGCGTGTACAGTGGGACTACGCAAAAATTTGAGCGCTTTGGCATACTGTATTCAATGTTTTATTAGGCTTTCGCCCAAGATTTTCATAACCGAATTGTATAAGTTGCGGCACGAAACTGTAGCGCTGACTGTTATTACGCAGAAGTAAAAATTAAGATGTCTTGGGGGGAAACGAGGTGCGCGGGTGGGTGGGCGTGCGTTGCGCTGATTGGCTCTCTAGTCGTACCCATGCGCAGCTATCCCCTCCGTGTTTTGTTCGGCGCTAGAGTTACGTGCCGCGACCTGTATAAAATCTTTCGACTAATATAAAAAATATATATTTAAATTAACATACTTCCCATCATTGTTATTTCACTATACATTCTCGATTGTTCTGGTCGCTTACTCAGCAAGTTGAGTCAAGTTACTGCCTCTCAATATGCATTAATTAGACCACGAATTCTCATGTGACTTGATGTAATTTGTGTCTTTTGATTATATACACACCTAGGTAGAGCAATCCAATTAAAACAGGCAAAGAAAACGCCTCATGTTACGTGCAATGATGCGTGACTTTAATGTCAAATTGTTTGAAAACAGTCAATGCCGGCGTGCTGCGTGTGAAGCGATGAGCTTATCTATCATATGTAGTAGATATTTTTGGGTCGCTTTTATGCAGTTTATACGATATCTACGCGTGTATATATTCAAAATTTGTGTCATTTCTATATATATTTTTTATTGTATTGTAGTCTTTTATAAAAAGAGGTTTTGTCTAGGCCACCAGTAATTGAATAACTGATTAAGGTAATTGGAAGTGCAGATAACTTATATCGGCGCACGCGTTTATTTCAATGTATTAATTCGCGAACTTAATGACCGTGTAAGCCAAAACGTAGTTAACATAGTTCTCTATAGTTATTCCTAACAAAAGACAGCGATTAGCGGTTAGTGCATTTAACTTAGCATCTAACATTAATTATAGTAAATAGTTGATAAATAATGTTGTTTCAGATAAATATTTACGCAATCAAAAGGTGTGTGACCCGGTTTGTATAAAATATCTTTTTCCGTCTTTTAATTTATTCGAAACGAACTTTTAGTTTGTAAGTACTGATGTTGAAATTCTATTCTAGTAATGCTGAAACTGTTTTCTAGCAAACATTTTCTGGCATTTTGAAACAATGTTATCTTTAAAGTTACCTGTTACTTTCAAGCGAATTATATTATAATAACGAACTTCTCTGTTTGTACGTAAAATTACCAGATTTTTATGCTTAAACAGACCTAGTCACAAACCTGATACCATGTAGATACGCTTTGTAATTGTAGACCTACCATTCCTAGAGATAATTAAGTCAGATATAGCATTTGAGTTCTGCACTTTAGATAGCAAAATATGAAACAAAAATTGTAGGCGAACTGAACAGATGTTTCAGGTAAAGTTTTCAAGACCCGGTGTTTATTACTCCAAAATACAAAATTTGATTATCAGTATCTTAGACATCTATGTTACTCCATATTATAATAACGGCAAACTGTTAAATACAAAATGAAATTTATATAAATGTGTGTAGAGATTTCTGGTCTCTCTAATCGCAATTGTAAACCTTCTAGCAGTACGGCGTCTTCCCAAATGTTTGTAACTATTATAATATAACGCACGGGCGTAGCCGGGTTTTAGTATCGGGAGGGGGTTCAAGAAAATAAAATTACTGAAAGCATGCAATAACCTTTATATTAAATGAAAAATATGTAAAAAAAAAGAAACGGAAGGTTAATTAGATTACATATGCACTACAGAATTAATCTTCTGTTTTTTTTTAAATATATCCCATCAATCATCTCTCATCAATATTCGCATCAATTTCTATCCCATAGTGAATATTCATGTGAGCCAAGAGTAAAGGGTGAATCTAAAATAAATTATTAGTGTAATAATTATTACTAATTAAATAAGCTATGTCGCTCGCCTCTCCCTATTTTAATATTATTGATATCTTAACTTTTCGGGGAGGGGGGGGGGGAGGGGTTTAACCCCCAAAACCCTCCCCCTGGCTACGCCCGTGATATAACGTTACAATCAATACACCGGGTCAGAGCATAGTGTGAGTGTGAAGCTAGTATGATGTATATTTTATTCAAACGGGCTTGCGACAAAATGTAAAAAATAAGGGAGTTAATACATTCATTCCTTTCTATCGCATTGGAAACTTCGTTTTTCCAGAGCGAGATAGCTAGTGTTGGCCGACCTACTATCGATTTAAGACGCAAGCAATTCACGACCCATTAAATTGCCTCAACTGTGTATGTTTTCTCACTTGTGAACAGGTATTATGTTTTGTAATGTCTTAACATTAAAACGATTTCCACTCTTTTTTCAATACAATAAAGGCTCCGGCAATGTCAAATTGTCACCAACGACTAAGTATTTCACTGTATGACCTAATTTAGGTACATTTTGTCTGAGCTCGGCTGAATAGTGCGTAGGCGCATCGTTTCGTTTAAGGAACCAATCATGTGAGAATTGGATGTTCATAAGTCTGAGAATATTGACATATTAATGTACTTACTCCATCTTGTACCGTCAGTCGATATTGAACCTGATTTAATGAAGTTAATATTCTTTGGAGTAATTTTTGGAATGTGATTTAATATGCTTCAATGTAACGTAAATCATAACGTAATAAAAGCGACGTCGAAATAGGTCTTCAAAAAACGGACTGTACAAGATTGTAAATAAATGGAACGTTAAGTGTGGGTAGTGGTTAATTTAAGAGATTGTCACGTATGAAACGAGACGCATTTTTTGAGGAATTAAGAAAAGTTCTGATGAGGAACGATGAAGTGTCAAATGAGATACTGTCAGCTTCCAAAATATTCAACATTCGACTTTATTACAATGTGTTAAGGTGGACGATTCCGCGATAGTGCTTTTATATTTTCCAAGCTGACAATACATACATATTAATAGAAGGGCAAGTGTGCAACAGTTTTGTCAAGCGCACAAGAAGCTTGACATATCGTTGACAAAAAATAGTTTTTACAGAACAATGCATAGTGTACTCCTGTATTAGGTTAAAAATATATTTCACGTCCTTGTGTCGTATGTCTATTATCTTAAAGTTTTTTTAAAGTCTTATCGCAATCTTCTTAACCACAGTAGGTACAAATATACGAAATATTTGCAGGTTGTGAGAATCTGCGTTATTAAAAAATTACCAGTAAGTTTTAACATGTATTCCTTGTGCTAAAGAATGAAGAAATAACGTTCTAAATTATAATTTATTTGGTTGTGGTGCTCTAAGGAAAATATTTAGATACTGCTATCACTATTGATAAATACAGCAGTAGCAATTTATTTCTGGTTTTACGAGTAATCATCTACGATAATGTTGACTTATTGATTTTATAACACTAGTCTAAATTGAATACTAAAATTATTGTTAGTTATATTACCCCGTGTTTTGATAACTTATTAATTACCTTGGCTACATATGTTCTGAGCCCAGGGTAGATTGAAATAAAATGTCCCTAAATTTTTGGATTAGTTAAAAAGCATCACTTTCTACTCGAGATAAATGAAACAGCAATATTTTTACTACTCAGTAAAAAGACATTTCGTTAACAAGAATATCAAAATCTTTTTTTTGGATTGCCTAGTCCTTGAAAAACTGGTGAAACAGTCGTAAAAAAGGTCAGACATTGTGTAGCTTCGCTTTTACTCGAAAAACGATTAAAAAAATACAAGTTACGTCACAGATTCAATGTAACCTAATTTGGCGGAGCCCGAAACTGGCATGTTTCTCTATATCTAAACTAAAATTTGACATTCGTGTATCCATGAGGTCTTTACAGAATCGCAAGGAGAGACTGTTATCAAAATTGATTTTAAGTTAAGAGAATCATGCGAAATCCAAACCCTTTGTCTAACTAAACAGAAAAGTAACTGAATATCCAATTATGACACTTATACGCTTTACTGTAACGGGCAAATATTTTATTGCTCAAAATCTTATACCATACAGGGCTAACATTATGAATTTAATGATAATAACTATTAAGGGTGTTGATATCATTATTATAGCTTCGCTTCGCTGTGATATTGATGATGAACCCAATGCCTTATAAACTTAATTTTTTGCGCACCTTTTGGGAATATAACGCTCGATTTTATTATTACGATTCGTTTGGTATGCTTATTTGTGTTGTGAATTTCAATTATTATTTAGCTATTTGTTGTTGAAATTTCTGGCTTAGTGATGAATTTCAAATTGATCTCAATCCTTAATATTAGTTATGCCGACTGATTTGACGTAATAATACTTACATATATGTATCTTGTAAAATGTGTGTTTTTATTAAAATTATTGCAGTATGTAATTGTTGTAACATATTTGTTTAAATTATAATAAAATTATTGTTTCTAAACATTTAAAACTTCACACCAATCAGCAACCAAACGACAAAATTTTAAGATATCGAGCTTCATAAATACTTTATAAGTGGATTTTTGTGACTGATTGTTACTTATACTTAAAACTGGACACGTGATTATATTAAATAATATTTGGAATTAATGACTTGCTTTAAGTGTCGTTAAAACTTAAATCGTTGAGATTTAATAAAAGAAAGGGCCTTGTGAGAATGATATTAAAAGATTTAAAAACTAACAACAGGGTCCGTACTATGAACTCGTATAGAACATATAAATGAGCATATTCAACTCAAACTGATCTTTATTACTGAGTGCGTAAAGTTGAATTTTCAACCTTACCTTCTTTCGCCCTATTCAATTATTGCACTGCACGTTTTTTCTTTTTACTCAAAGCTTTTTGATTATAAAAACGTGTAGACAAGGCCGTGTTGATCTAAGCTTAGTGGTACAGACAATGTCACCGACTAGGTGGCACGAAGCACGATAAGTTCCAAAGGAATTATTCTGAGCGAGACGCCGCTCTACATTGTATAGCTGTGTCTCGCTTTCACAATCACAATACAGTAGACCCGCGGTAATCCCGACAAACGCTTTGCAGGGCGATGTCGGATTACTACCTAAGACCACCCTCTATAGTCCGGAATTATTGGAAAAAAAATCCGGACCGGAAATACCTTGTAATCCGACAAATTACAATTCTTAAAATTTATTTCAATTGATTTTATGGGCAAATTAACGTGTCGGATTACCGGGGGTGCCGGATTAGATGGGGTCAGTATTACCGCGGGTCTACTGTAGTTGCTTTAAGCCAGCACTTAATTTGGTTATTTGTAAACTTGTCAACAGTTTGTCCTTACAATGCTGTATAAATAATGTAAAGATCAGACTGATGTCAAGTTTACAAATAACAAACACGAATAGCCAAGTGCCGGCATAACGAGTTCATGTTACAGACCCCGGGCCTTTAAATCCTAAAACTATGGTTGTTTTTTACTCTTTCGCCTTTATACATGATGCCGTTGTTTTGTTTTGGAAGCGCACGAATTTATCGATTGTAACGTATCTTTTTTAATTAATTAAGTGGTCGTTAAGTGTCATGAGAGCAAAAAGAAAATGTATTTTTTCATTATTATGTATCATGAACTAAGCACACTCTTGCCTAAAAATGTCGTGAATGTACACTACGCATATGTGATACACAGTTTATAAATAAATAAATAATTTGTGCATATTTGTTTTATTTCAAACACAAACTACAATTATAGTAGGTACAATTAGATAGTCTAACTTTAATTGCTGACTTTAAATTGAACAATAACTTTTATGAATAAATTGCAGCACCTAATCTTTAAAGTTTTGCAATTACCATTTAAGTTTTGTAGAAGTTTAAATTGAAATACTTTTCATAGCTTTTAATAACTTATTTTGTGGGAATACATCAGATTTGCATCTACTTATTTTTGACTTGATTTAAAACTGCAAAATAGGAGTATGAGCATCGTAGTATCTGAAAATAACAATTAACTCATCATTATTACATTCCAAGTCAGTTTACATCCAATCCGAAAAAAAGTATTGATAAATGATTTCACTAGAAAAAAATCTATTCGACCCATTTGATATCTTGTCTGATATCTGGTTTATTTTGTATAAATGGAAATGTAAATAAAAAAGAGTGTGCTTATGACCACACGACTGAAGTGAAACTTCTTTAGCTCCATCTATATATATATATATATATATATATATACACACATGTATGTACATATACATATTTCATTTACTAGCTATAAGAGAAAGAGAGAAAGAAAATGTGCGCGCGCACTGCTTTCTCTTGCTTATATCCCCCACTCAACTCTCGTTCGCCTGGCCCGAACTTACTTTTCGTAACGCTTAACGCATTCGCCAACTTACCTCCCAAGTCAAGCGTGCGAAGAAGTTTCACTTCAAAAAAATATGGTTGCCAACATTGTAAATGTTTAATTTCACAATTATAACCAAGTTTGTAAACCAACCGATACAAAAGTCGGCCGTGAAAGCGGAATATAGTTTCCCGCTTTGAAGATGAGCGGTCGACTCATGAATTCCATGGCAATCCATAGCGTTCTTTTAAAGCTGAGATCTTGCTCGTACCACAGACATTCGTATAAACCATCCCTCAGCACATTATTCTGTAAAATTAACTGAACTTTTTTTCATCATTTGATTTTTTTTTTTTATTATTTAGGTTTAGCTTTATTAGGGATATTTTCCCGCAATAAAACGTAGCCTTATGTTTATCCAGTGTGTCAGTTAACTCCATACCAAATTTTATTAAAAGATGTGAAGAAGTAACAAACATACACATTCACAAACTTTCCCTTTATAACATTATTGTGATCAAAGGTCTTATACAAAATGAATAGGAATTATACATCTCTTTAATCTGGTATCTATTATTTAAAGGCGTCCTACCCCCTTATAATAAACAACGAATAAGCATAGACTAGTTACGTCGTGTTTTGTTCATGTCACTCAAGTGCTATTTGTCATTCGATAAAAAGAGACAAAACATGGAGTAATTTATCCAAGCTTATTTTTGACGTGACAACGTCTCATAATTCGATGGAGCAGGCTGCACGCACGAAAAAACATGACTCATGTGGCGTTACCTCCCTTTGAGGCGTTTTGTTTAAGGCTTGAAGTGCAAGCGAGAGCGCGCAACTAGCGACAAAGAGGCACAATCGGCCTCCGCGTCCGGCAGCGTTTTTGTTTATTATTAAGTGGGTTAAGGTTATAATACATATAAGGTTATAATAGTCAGTATCCCTTTTTTCGATGTTATCAAGTCTATAGGTATATGCGAAAAAGAAGTTTGCTTTCCATATTTTTGTGTATCTGGGATGGGATGTTATGGGATATACAAAAAACTAAAGTCAACTTTGACGAAATCGCGGACAGCCGCTAGTGACAGTATATTGTGACCTTATTAAATGATTGTAAAACCATTACCCTTTCAGTGATCTCATTGCCGGACCAAGAGTAGAAGCAGAGTTGTACTAGCATTGCCATCAGATAATTGACGGTCGAGTAGTAATGAAAGGTGTTTGGGGGCTCCTGTTGAGGTACAATAGGCATGTTATTAACTAGTTGTGCACTGCGGTTTCATCCGACTCAATCCGAGAAGCGGTGTCCACGGTTCTGTTGGTTATAGCCAATGAGCTAAATATAAACGAGTGTGCTTATGGCCACAAGACTGAAGTGAAACTTCTTTAGCTCCATCTGTATGAATATATTTATGTGTGATATATAAGATAAAGAGAGAAGGAAAATGTGCGCGCACACTGCTTTCTCTTGCTTATATCCCCCACTCAACTTCCGTTCGCCTCGCCCGAACACACTTTTCGTAACGCGTAACGCATTCGTCAGCTTACCCCTCAAGTCAAACGTGTGTAAAGAAGTTTCACTTCAAAAAGATAAACATAATACGCTGTCGCGGACTTTTGATACACGATTTTTGCGTTACTTTAACCGTAACGCAGCACCCGCAACATATATCATCATCATCATCATAATCAGCCGATGGACGTCCACTGCTGGACATAGGCCAAGGGCGGTTCCAGCTTTGGCGCCAGGAGAAGGGGGGGGGGGGGAGTCATAGTCGTGGTATATTAAATATTGAAAGTGCTTAAATAAAATCCCATGACCCCCCCCCCCCCCTGAATCCGCCCTTGACATAAGCACACGCAACCGCAGCTTTCAAAAATAATATTATTCCCGTTCTTGTAACATATGTTTCGTTGATGCTCCGCTTCTAATGGTTGTAACATAGTGTTATGACCTTCTATGAAAATTTTACTTGCTATCCAACACAAAGATTATTTAATTTTATTAAATTTTCTTCTAGTAGTTCCTGAAATCAACGCGTTCGATCAAACAATCTCTTCATATGTTTTCAATACGTTACGTTACATGGTATGTGACGTAGAGTAACAAGAAATAGGGGGAATACCACAGAACACAGAAAGAGGTTAGAAGAGCCTTGTGGGCGGGGCAGGCGCGCCACAGTTGTTTGAGTAAATGCTCAAAACTTGGTTCTGATTGCGTCGTTGCTCTCGGCTGTAAACGCTGATTGGTTCGATAGTTTGATGTCGCGTCGTTTATTGGCTATTATCTGTATGGTGAAAGTGTAGTAGGGATGTGCCGGCGGCGTCGGTTCCTATACAAATAGTCTATTGTCACCCTTCCAACAGCTTTCTCTGTTCTGTGGGGAATACATTACAATGGTCATCTGCAAGGCGATGATACAGACGACGATGACGGTGGCGCTGAGCTGGAAGAATATGTGTATGTCGAATATATCGGCAACCCCCTCAATGTACCTGGAAGTCCAAATTGAAACGCCATATCATCATTGTTTTTATAGAAAACCCGCAGGAGAGAATAGTGAATTATAATAAGAATAGTGGGTTATAATTTGACTATTCATACTGTAAATTATAAAAAATGTTGGACGATTCAAAAGAACGACTTTCAACAAGTCAATTTAAATAAAGTATTTTTACATTTAGTTTCGTCCGTATGCTTGCTTATTTACGTGATTTATTTCTTCTATATTTTTGTAGCAGTTTATACAATGAAATAATAATTTGTCATTTTTTTTTTGAAAAATTGGCATCGTTGGCTTTCGCATCCGGGCGCCGCATATGGTTAAGATGCCCCTTCTACTAGGTTACTAGCTCTAAAAACTTTACCAAGAAGATTCGAAAGGATTGCGTAGGTAGTTACCGTAATACGGTCAGCCACGGCGCCGCCTGCGTCGCGGGTGCAACGCCGTGGTATCTCGATGCGCAGGTCCTGGCAGACGTGCATCGAGGTCGGGTTGAAGCCAGGGAGCGGGGTGAAAGACCTGTCCCAGCAGAGCTGCGGCAGGTCCGTTCCATCGCGCAGGCAGAGGCCTTGCGGCGATGGGATGAGACACTCGCCCAAGTGAGCGCCGGCCACCGGACGATTGAGGCTATTCGGCCGGTGTTGGAGGAGTGGATGGGTCGCCGGCGCGGCGGCTTCACGTTCCGCATGGTGCAGATCTTGACCGGGCATGGATGCTTCGGTCACTATTTGCACAGTGTCGCAGGTCGGGAGGAAACGCCGCAATGTCATCATTGCGGTGCCCCGGACGACACGGCCGAGCACACCTTATTGGAGTGTCCGGCCTGGCGACACCAGCGCCGCGAGCTTATTGCGGCGCTGGGATGCGGAGCCCTCTCGCTGCGGTGTATGGTGGAGGCCATGCTCCGCAGCGAGAGGGCGTGGGAGGCAGTCGCCTCCTTCTGTGAGAACGTTATCTCGCAAAAGGAGGCGGCTGAGAGGGAGCGGGAGGATGATCCTATGGCCGCTCCCTCCCGCCAAAGGAGGACGGGTAGGAGAGGACGTTGGCGCGCCCTGGCTGCGCCCGTCCCATGACCCTACCCGGGGAGTCCCTCGCTGATCGGCATAGCGACAGCTGTGCCGGCCACCGACGGACCCCGTGACGGCAACCCCCCCTTGTAGTTCTGTCCTGCAAAGAGGGGGCGGCGGAGGGAGCTACATGGGCACGCCCAAGTAGCCCTCCGCAGCGGACGGGGGGCGGTACGGTGGGCACTAGGCCGCGTACTCAGCCCCCACGCGTGGGCCATCCTGCGCACGTCTGCGGGGTCCCCGCGATACCCCGGGAGACCCCTGCCGCGGAGCCCCGGCAAGGCCGGGAGGCTGCTAGGTGCGGAGACGCGGAAGAATCCCTAAACGGGGATCCCGCGGCTTCGCGCTAAGCAGCTTAGAGGGTGTTCGCAGGGTTTTTTAACGGATATTATGCCGTAATGCGCCCGTAAGGGTTACGGGGTCCTCAGTGGGCAGCCACTGCTAGGGCTCGTAAGGCTTGCGGGAGCCAGGTGTGAGGTCCGTTCGGCGGTATGCCTCTTAAAGGCGCCGTCGTCTGTAAATAGTATTTTTTGCCTGCGAATAAAAAAATAAGGTAGGTACCGTAATAATGCCTGATGTCGCCGAATACAATCTTTTAGAAGCGCACTGTTATGTTCGATGAGATCTCTTCGTTGTTTTGGGTCAAACAAAATTGAGACATGTTGCACCTGAAACAATCGAATAAATATATGTCCACTTAAGCTAAGATATTTCCATTTATTGGGATTTTAAATATTTATCAATAGCTGTTTCTAAAGCTTTAACTCTCTTCGTTAACAGATAAACTTAGCAGCAATAACATTCTTTTAGTTCAGGCACCGGCCGTAAACTCGTTTTCTGAATGAAAAACAATCTCTGGAATTAATTAATTACACTAATATTATAAAGGCGAAAGTTTGTGAGTGTGTATGTTTGTTACTTCTTCACGTATAAACGGTTGGAGCGATTTTAATAAAATTTGGCATGGAGTTAGCTGACACCCTAGATTAACACATAGACTACTTTTATCCCAAAAAAATGTTAGGTTCCAAGGGGATTTTCAAGAAACTAAGTTAACGCAGACGAAGTCGCGGGCGACCTCTAGTATTTAATAATTACAGACTGCTTTTCCTTCAGAATAGGAGCTATTCCTAGCTGATCAGTCGTTTATGTGTGATTAAGTGACAATGACATTTACAATGTCAGAAACTGTGTAAATAATTGAAATTCTGAGGAATATACCATAGATAAATGATTGTGGAGTGAAGCGAGACCAATTATTCATCTATGGAATATACTATATTCCTTTAATGGGGATAAATATTGGACACGGCCGTACCAATGTTGTAAATGTGGAAATAAACATTATGTAAGTAGTGGTATTGTTATACACAAACAAATTTCCATACCTCTTTTATTTTACAGGTAATAATATCGAGCTGTACAGGAACAAACATTAGCAGGGATATCGCGACGATATCCATGGTGAGATAAGTAGAGACACTAAAAATTATTCCAAATAATTGAAGAACATAGCCGAGTAGATATTCTGGAATCTCGGCAGAGGCGGCGTCCATAGGCATCCTGGTGAACAAAATTGCTTTAATGTCTAAAATAATGACTTATTATTTTGAAACGACTTAGTGTCGCCGCACACGGGCCACACGCCACAGCCACAAACGCCGCTACAAGAATGTACAAGCGGCTACTAAAGTGGCTGAAGCGCGCGACAGCGGCTGACTAAGGTAAGGGAGAGAGCGGTGGGGAATCGCGCGAGTGACGTGTGGCGGCGTTTTGTATAGGCGCATTAAGTGGCCGGTGCGGGCCACAAGAAGCGAGCAACGACGATTTGTAACGTGTGGCGGCCGCCGGCGTACCGTGTGTGGCGAGTCCATATAAAATGTATGATTACTACAAGAAATATGCCGGTCGCGATGGCGGCGTTTTGTGGTCGGTGGCCCGTGTGCGGCGACACTTATTTTTTCATAACAATTGAGTGCCAAAAGTGCTTACTGTTTACTACTGCTCAATATGTAAATACCTATTCTATATTTTAATTGATATAGTTACCATATTTTGAAAGGGAATATCTTATGGCCTTCTTTCTCGAAAACCGGCACCAACGCCCACTCTACACAGTTGCAAAAACCACAGACGATGTATATTAGGTAAATCCTCCCCATCTTCTTTGCATAAGCCGAAATAATCCTGAAATATGAGCCATTGGAGATACTTACAGGATTTTACAGTTAAACCAGTAGTAGTTGTATAGGTGATAAGTGGGTTTTCGTTAGTCTATCATAGTGGTCTGTAAATTCTATAATACATACTTATCTTGAACCAATGATTGTGATACAAAAACTTCGTTTTCCATGAAGTCCAACAGACTCAGAAACTTTTTCTGGCTAAGTAAATAGTTCGTATTCTTTAAGCTACAGGTTGCCACCGAGAAAAACAAGTAGCACGCGTCAGAGATTTGCTCCAGATCTCCCCAAAGCATTACCATGTTCACCAAGTTGCAAGTCACGAAAGCGTATTGCATAGATATTACGCAGATTCTGTAAGCTATGTACAAGAGTCGAAACTTCTTTTCTTTGGGTGGGGTCCATAGCCCGGTTAATAACAATGCTAACCGCGGGTGCTGAAAGTAAATATGAACCATTTTGCTAAAACTTTAGAGATGTTTTGCTGGTCAATTGCTGTGACAGTGGAATTTATAAGTTTTGCTCGTAGAAAATGTGTGTACATAACTACAGGGTGAACAAAAGTCAATCTCATTACAGTATTCAAATAATCTTGTCCAGCTCTGACACTGGAAAAGGAAAAGGAAACATGTCATTTAATTTCCGCCATTCAATAGTAGATAAGGGTCATTGGATAGAACCTATTCTCATAAAATCTAATTTTGTTGTATGAAAATATTGTTCGAATCGTCAACAACTCTTGTTGAAAATATATTAAAAAGACAAAAATCACGATCGTTGTCAGAATATTGAAATTGAAAATAAAAATAAAAAAAGCGTGTGTCTCTGGACGCACGACAAAAGTGATAACTTAAACTAATCTAAGCGGCGCTGGGGGTTAGAGTTAGGGAAGAAAAGCCTGCCTACCGCTGTCGTATGCGTGAGAGGAAGGGAAGCCAGACAAACTAGGGCCGTAACGCGTTACGAAACGAAGCGGTATACCCTCCAATAGGAAGTTATGACTTCAAAAATATCGGTTATAAATAAACAATAATGTGTTCTCAAAGGTACCTACGTTGTTACTTAGTAAAAATATAATAATTATATCTCGTATGTTTGTAGAACATGCTGTAAAGAAGATAGGTTCCATTAAAAATGCAATCGTAAACTTAAACTTACTCGTACGAGTCGAAAACTTTTTGCAATTTTCCTATTTAATTGCAGATATACTAATAAATATAATACCAAGTGTTATTATGTTTGTACGTTTAATGTTTTTAGTACACTTTATCCAATACCTTTAATCCTTTCATTATATGTAGATATATCTATTGCCTACTTACTTTCAATTATCAAACGTTGGAATTCGATAGAAGAAATAGCAAATGTCAGTAAGCTTAGGAAAAGAATACACAATGAATATTTTTTTCTGTTATTTATTACTATTTCTACATTACACCTATTAGTATGTAACATTCATAATTATAATTATGTTTATTTTATTGAATCTCGTATATGATTTGTTGATGGTGATTTCATCTTAGATTAATCTTCTTTTTTGGTTTGATTTACCAAAACCGCAAAATACGAATAGGACGTGCGAAGTATCTGTGGAGGAAATTAAATTCTTTAATTCTTAATGATAAGAATAAATAATGGAGGACAAAGAATTAGTCTAGCTATTCAGGGGGAACGCTGCCGGTACCTTCGGAAGCTTGTTTAAAATGACTCCTTTTAATAATATATTTTAGTTAACTAGTATATTATATTTTGTTACGTTTTTTTAGATTTAGGTTAATTGTTTTACTTTGTAAAATTTAAGTGTCCGTTTCATATTTTAAACTAATGTTCTAATGAAATAAATAAATGATAAAAAAGTATTCTTTTTAATATTAACTGACTTAAGAGCGATGTTTTTTCCATACAAACGTTCTCGACTGATTCTTTTTAATTTTTATCACTAAAGAAATGACTTTCCTACAGAAAATATAATTTTATTTATTCTATGCTCCTACGCTCCTCCTCCTTTTTCGATGACTTGTGTTTTAAAGAATCTGGGAGCCCTCAAAAATGCCAAACATTAAATAAATTTTATTTATTAAATTAATTATTAATTAAATAATTAGTTTAATACATGATTTTTTATTTAATAACTACAGACGCCTAGTGTGGATATTCAATAAGCATTTAAAAAAAAAACAGAGGCCTAGTATAGCTACTTATTATTCAATCATTAGGATATATCTAATTTTCGAGAAGGAAATCGTCAAGAGTCAAACCTTGAAATTGGCAATTTTTATACGTAAGGTATTTAATGATCCACTAATGTTTTTTCCACCAATGTATGCAACCTTCGTAAATGCACTTTTTGAGCAAACGTGTTGAAAATAACGATTACCGCGATAAACGTTTGCCTAGAGAGGCTGACGTAGTGGCCGGTGCGGAACACCAGCGGGCGACTCATGCGCATCATGGCGAAACACAGGTCGCGTTTGAACCGCACGTCTTGCTCGTACCACGGACAGTCGTACATGGCTGTATGCAACATCTCGCTCTGAAATAACATAATAATATTTCCAACACTCACACCAATTAGCCTAGCCCCAAAGTAAGCACTGTAAGGCTTGTGTTATGGGATACTAGGGTAACGGATAGAATACATATACTGTACATATATAAGTATATTTTCCACGGGATTTGAACTCTCGAGTCGGCGACACCATGAAACCAGGCGTACAAACCACTCGGCAACGGAGGTCGTCAAAATTAACATTAATTACATAATGAGAACATTTTATCTATCATAGATATAATGATTCGGTTTATTGCCTTCGTTTAGGTATTCTGTCGTTGTAATGTATTGTATAGGTAATCACTTAATCACTTTTAACTTCTAAAAAAGGCTTTAAAAAGCTTAGTAGGTATAGCGTAGTCTAAACGCACTTTTATGTTCGAAGTAGCCTACAATTTTGAAACATGCCTTAAATAAGTAAGAAAATGCGTAATTTACTGTGATATAGGTACAGCAATCTAAAAAATACAAATAGATAGGTAATGTAAATTTATATGTCCGGCAGTGGACGTCCATCGGCTGATTATGATGATGATGATGTATATACTTATATCGCTCGATGGCGCAAGTGGTTAGCGCATTCGGCTGCGATCTATGAAGTTAAGCAACTTTTGCAGTGGTCGGTCATTGGATGACTGACCAAAAATCTTCTATCTCGAGTTCCTCCGTGCTTCGGAAGGCACGTTAAGCCGTTGGTCCTGGCTGCATCTGCATTCGTTAGCACCCACCAATCCGCACTGGGCCAGCTTGGTGGGTCATTGCCCAATCTCCCTATTCCATCCTTAGGGAAGGCCTGTGCCCCAGCAGTGGGGAGATTAATAGGCTGATGATGATGATACTTAATTTATTATAACATTGCGATTGGAATTTTCTTAAACGAACTTACAGTTGACGTCAGTTCGTGTCCACTCCAAGAGCATACGAACAGTTCACCCATCATCACGTACAAGTATGTAGCCATGGAGAAAAACTGTACGCTTTTCCATTCCACCTGTATACAAACATTCCAATTCATGTTGGAAGTCGCAAGTACGTAGGTACGTATATTTACATATTGAATCTTCAGTCAAGTTTTCTAAAGGTAATTGTTTGCGAGTTTGCCTCCAATTACATCTGCTAGAAAGCTACAATTGAGGCTCAGATAGAACACGTAAAGACAGTAAATGCCTATTTACTTTCGACTTAGGTCAAGTCCTACAATCTAGGTGTGCTTATTAGAAAGCTGGAGTAAAATCGATTTGTACGGGCCAAGGAACAACAACAACGTAAGGGTCAAAACCCTCCCCGTCTAGTAGTCCGATGGTGGAATGGAAATCGGGCTGCAACATCATATCGCACCTTTATTTCAATACTGTCATTATCTATACTTATAATAAATCTGTAGAGATGTCAATTCTGTACATGAAATATATTTTTAAAATAACTATCAGGGGGTGATTAGTGATCGATACTGATGCCAAAAATGCAATCAGTAAATTTTTTGTCTGTCTGTCTGTCTGTGTGTATGTTCCTTATAGAAGCAACAACTACTCGACGGATTTTAACGAAACTTGGAACAATTATTCTTCATACTCCTGGGCAGGTTATAGTATACTTTTCATCACGCTACAATCAGTAGGAGCAGAGTAGTGAAGGGAAATGTTGGGAAAACGGGAGAAGTTACTCCATTTTTTAAGATTCCGTCGCGTGTGCAGCCTTAATGATTAAAGTTACATAGAAATCATGTATGACGGAAATATTCTACATAAAATTGTCTAAAAAATATCCCGCAACAGCATATGTCTATCTTTTATGGTTGACTCACAATAACACGTGTAACTCCCGATAGCTTAGCAGTTCGGAGCATTCTGATCATATTTGTTTACTCTTTCGTTTATAATACTCGGTATAGAAACACCAAACTTATACATGAAATAAGCCATCGCGCCGTCGCACGTGAATACTGAATCATGCTATAAGGATTATTTTTGTGTAACGGTTGCCGAGCTCGACTCGGGTCGCGGCAGCGGTAGGGTATCAAGGGTCCGAGAGCGAGCTGTCTAAATCTGTTTTCTGCGTCGCTCCCCCCCTGGGGGACGATCGCTTCCGATGAAGCCTTAGAGGCCTTCCCGGCCAGAGGCAGCCCCTACGGGTGTTTTTTAGTCAGTACGAGTCTGACATAACCTTGCAGCCGGCTGTAGGGTATCCATGAGGATTTCTCATCTGCTCCCCCGCCTGGGAGACCGAAACCGTGCTTATTAGCGCGACTTTTAGTCTTTAAATAGTTTATTTGAATTTCTTTTGTTGTTATTTTGTAAAACAGGTATAAGTTGTTTTGGTAGTGTTTAAATATTCGTTCAAATTAAAAATTATTAAGCGTAGGTACTTTTATTAATTAAAGTAGTTATAAGTATTTATTTTTAAGTGAAGGAGGTGTAGGTAGATAGTATTGCACAGGCGTTTCAGCTTTATTTTCATTTCTTTTTTGTTGTGAGTTGTATATATTTCTGGTTATAATTCTATAAGAATATTTTAGTTCAAATAGTCACTTAGATTTTATGTGTAAGGTAGCTAAAGTTAGGACCACGTATTAGTTGTTTTGGTAGTGTTTAAATATTCGTTCAAAGTGTAATTTAATCATATAGGATGAATGTACGATGGCCCATCGAAAAGGAGTAGAAGCGGTAGACAGAACTTTAAGAGATATAAGACAAAATGATCGACCCATGGGCGGTATCACAGTTTTATTTAGTGGTGATTTCCGACAAACCTTAACGGTAATACCACGGGGAACCCGAGCTGCTGAGGTTAGGGCTTGCCTGAAAAGCTCTTATTTGTGGCGTGATATACAATCGGTGCATTTGACTATAAACATGCGAGTGAGAACTGTAAATAACCCGGATGATCGTGAATTTTCTGATATATTATTAAAGAAAATACCTTCACCAAAGATACCTATCCACTGCTACACCAAGGAAAACTTATTCTGACGCCTGAGTTATGTTGTATAGTGCAATCCCAACAACATCTTACATCGTCAGTACGGTGACGTAACAAATATATTAAATAAGAACAATTCTTGGCTATGCGAAAGGTCCATTTTAACTCCTCGCAATGACCAGGCATCTGAGATTAATAATAAAATACTGTCGAATATCCAGGGGGAAAGCAAAGTTTATAGTTCAATAAAAAGAATGGCCGATGAACAAGAAGCAACTAATTACCCGATAGAATTTTTAAATTCTTTAAATATGCCCGTACTTCCTTCTCATGAAATTTGTTTAAAAATTGGCATTCCGATTATTCTGCTCCGAAATTTAAGACCACCACAAATTTGCAATGGAACTCGGCTTAAAGTAACCCAGTTGCAACAAAATGTAATCGAGGCTCAAATTTTAATAGATTGCGGTGCAGGAGAAACCATCTTTATTCCCAGAATTCCCATAATACCAAATAATTTTCCATACCAATTTAAAAGAACGCAAGTCCCAGTATCGGTGTGTTATGCAATGACAATAAATAAGGCTCAAGGGCAGACCTTTCGTGTTGTTGGAGTAGATCTCGGTGTCAGTTGTTTTTCACATGGTCAGTTATGTCGGTCTTTCCCGGGTTAGCAGTCCTAGAATTTTTTATGTTCACGTTCCGGACGGGTCAAATTTCAACGTAGTCTACCCGGAAGCTTTGCGCTGAAGTATTTTCATTCTATATGTACTTAAGACTCATGTGAAAGCGATCTAAACAATATTACCAATACATTAACATAATAACATACAAGGAGTTACACGCTGATGGTCTCGGGGCACAGTGATAATAATAATATTCTGCGGTTCCTTATTGCGATATTTTTAACAGTATTATATTTCCCTACTAAAATACGAAAGTTAATCTGTCTGTCACATCAAAACCACGGAACCCTGAGGAAGGACATATGCTACTTTTTTACGAAAAACGACGATAACGCGGACGAAGTGGCGGGCAAAAGCTAGTCATAAAATAAAATTAAAATACAGGATTTGAAGTAATGTGTAGATTCATAACGTAGCAAATAGATGGCGTTGTAAACTATTTTTTGAAGAATTTTGTTTAATGACAGTATTGGAATAAAGGTGCGATATAGAATTTGAGTGCAATAGCCAAAATGTATCCTATAGTCAGACAGATAGATTAGTAGATTCCCAAGGGTCGTATTTATCAAGCCATTCGAAATTTCGGCTTCTGGCCAGGGGCTCACCCACGAATTTAGCAACTCCGTAATCGTATCGTCATATTAAAAAAGCTAGTGACGTTGCGAGACGATTACGGGGTACTGTCAAAATTGGTGCTCGGGCCTCAGTGTCCCCTAGGGTTATCAAAGATTACGAGCAGCGACAAAAATGCCATCGTAATCGTATCGAAGGGTCAAAATAATAGTATACATTGCATTATTGTGACTGTACAGAAAATGCTTAATATAATTTATATGTTTCTTCACAGGATCACGCGCGCTGGCCTACGTTGCCACCGACTTAAGCCCACCATTCACTACACGCACCGCGAGCCGAACCCCGAGCCGTACCCATCCGCGGACAAATCCGTCATTGCCCACACACTACACGAGCGTCGAGTTACAGTCCAGTCGCTTGTGTACTTTGGTGAGCCTCGCGCGTATCGTTCTTCCCTACCCTACCATGCCACCGGTGCTTTCCAAACGCACAAAAGTCGCTTTAGTAGTCGGTGCAATACTTTTAACGGAGAATAAAAAGAAAAAGCGCGTTTGAACAAAGGAATGGCTGAAACAACGAACAAAATATACTCATTTAAAATTGCTGCAATGCATTCAGACCTGTAAACCACCTGTTTCTCTTTAGTTTTCTCTTTAAACAGCAGGATAAATTCTTGCCAAAACTCTTTATGATCGCCGAACGACATGTTATTATACTCGTTTACTCGTTCGTGATACAAACAAAACAACTGCAGGCCAATTATGCTCGCTAATTGTGATATTGTTTTGATGTCAATTTCACATTACTTATTATGCTCTCCGAAAAATGCGATATCAAAATGACATCAACTTTAAAATGATATCAACTTAAATGCGTATTACGTTCAACTTTTTGACATAAAAAAGGTATCGCATGAACGTCAAAAATGTGATACAGACTTAACAAGTTAGGAGGTGGTTTTCTGTATCAAATTCCTTTTTTTTTTAATGAAAAAGAGTAAAATGGCTCGTTTCGGGTTAGTAATGGACTATTTAGAACGAGCTCATGCCGAGGACATGCGTAGAAGAGATAAACCCCTTGTAGAAGAGATACAATTAGCTCTATGTGTTCGCTAATTGTGATATTGTTTTGATGTCAATTTCACATTACGTATTATGCTCTCCGAAAAATGCGATATCAAAATGTCATCAAATTAAGCGTATTATGATCAACTCTTTAAAATGATATTAACTTGATATCAACATAAATGCGTATTATGTTCAACTTTTTGACTTTAAACAGTATCGCATAAACGTCAAAAAAGTGATACAGACGTGATACAGAATTAACAAGTTAAGAGGTCGTTCTGCGTGCACGCACTACAAATGACTGACAAGCAGTGTTGCCAGGTCTCCAGATTTTACAGGAGATCTCCTGTTTTTCTGAAATTTCTCCTGTTCTACTGTTTTTCTACATGAATCTCCTGTTTTTCTTAGAATACAATTTTCTTTTTTAAATTGCATGTTGAGTTGCATTTTCGGCCATTAACTCTGTAGGTAACCTTATTAATTTTAAAATAAATGTTATTGTATAAAAAAACAGCGGGGTGGTACAAGCCACAGAAACATATTCGTTACAGGTCTTGATTTGATTTACCAATTGTAGGGGGGGGGGGGAGGTGCAAATCGGAAAAAGTACGCCTCTGGATCTACTGTTTTTCTTGTAGCTCTTTCCATACATCTACTGTTTTTTCCTAACGCCTCCCGATTTTTTGAAATCGGACCTAGCAACACTGCTGACAAGTTCACCGATAAATCTGTGCAAGCACACACACGTACGGATTTGTACGGCGCGGATGGGGTGCGGCGCGGCGCTCGCGTCTCTCGACGGCGAGCGCCGCGCCGAGCCGCGAGCCGCACTCACCAATAAATTCACACGCGGACTTGTCGCCAGCGACAAATCCGGCGGATTGGCGCGCCTGGGAATGGTAGGGCATGGGAGTACGCAGGTAGGGGCAGGGGGGGGGGGCAGCTGCCCCCCCCTGGAAATCTCGCAGAACATGTATGAACGGTCTAGTACCCATTGGTAGAAAGATTTTATTACAAGTTCTTATACTATAATGCGAAAAAACTTCCTCCAACCTATTTTGAAACAAATCACTCCACCATAAAACATCAACGTAACTAATCTAGAATTCACCAAAGATTAAATCTTTGGAATTCACGGGAAAAAAATGCGATTCTAACTATAACTAAGCAGTTAGCACGACACTGTTGTCGATTCTGGCATGATTCTCTAAAGCTAAACAAAAATCTGACAACAGTGTATCTTTGTCATTCTCTATACAGAATGAAAAGGACAGACTGATGTTAAATTTAGTTTTAAGTCAAGAGAATCCTGTCAGAATCGACACCACTGCCCATCTAAATATAGGTAGTTCTTAAATCATTCCACTTGTACGGTATAATTTTACTTACCACTGTGAGCCTCAATGCAGTCATACAGAAGATACCGACGTTTCCTGATATTTGGAAAAAGAGATAAGAATGATACGCGTCTTCGGAAAGCTTGGTAAAACTGTAAAAAAACAAATAAGATTGAATAAAACAGATATGGCAACTTGACTAAAGGCAGGAATATACAACATACTTTTAGGAAATAAGTGGGAATGAAATTTGGTTGCAGTCAGCTACAGCCGCTGTGGGTTTATTTGACGCAAAAACCTTGTGTTTCCCTCTCATTCTCTTTCATTATGCAAACGGCTACGGAGTGGAACTCCTTGCCGAGGTCTGTTTTCCCGGACCAATATAATCTGGACATTTTCAAGGCCAGAGTGAACAGGCATCTTCTAGACAGGCGTGTACCATCCTAGGCCTCATCATCGCTTTCCATCAGGTTAGATTGTGGTCAAAAAATCCATCACTCCTGGTGCACCTTTTATGCTTCTTTTAAGCCCGAAAGGGATGGATGTCATAAAATAAAGAAACGCTGTTCTTAGCCCTTAATTAAGGTAGAGCGAGATTATCTTTTAGATTACAAGATAGTTGAGTATTTTATTGTGAATATCTTTCAGCTCCATTTGGTATGGGTACGCTTTTACTTCACATTTTTCCGCGGAAAATTTCTTACTCATTTGAATGTTCGTGCCCCAACCGATAATTTAGACATATGCATAGACATGTGCCTCTGTACCAGAAATCCTATAGGAATATACGAGTATTCTTAGCTAGCAAGCGAAAGAGTAGAGACCAGGGAGGGCACTTACCATATACATCGAATAAAGTTATAGTTTATAAGCATAAAGTAAATTGAAAGTGAAGTAAATCATTAAATACTTACGCATAAAGAGCTTCGTGATGTTTCACGCAATCGATAAGCGTCTTACGATTTTCAGCGAATATTTTCTGTCGCTCTTTGTTTTTCATGGCATAGTTTATGGATGTGACCTATAAAAACACCCAATAATTACTTTGATACCCAAGTAATAATACTGTTGTTTTTTTTAAGTGAAATTGAAATGAACCTTGTAACCTTGGTGTCTTAGTAATAAAGCTTAATTTTCTTTGCGAAAAATATAATTTAAATTAAATAGTAAGTATATAAATGATTCATTTAAAGTGATTAGTTTAATATTGTCTTTAAACATAACGCACATTTTCATTCTTTTTTTATAAAGATATTAAGCATTTGTCAAAAAATTTAAGTAGTATAAAATTGACGCTGCCTTACAGCTTAAGGATAGGAAAATTTCAACGAGGCCATCAGGGCCGCGGTAGCATAATTGGTCAGTGCATTCGCCCGGATTACGAAGGGTGTTCGAGTCCCGTCTGCTCTGATTTTTTTCTATTAAAAACTTTTCTTTAGATTTAAACATCCAGCAGTTAAATGCTTAAGAAATAAAAACATAATATAAAATATATAATTTTAACCTAGACAGTTGAATTTTAACACAGGTGTTGTCTTCAAGACGTACCTAGTCATGAAGGACTTTTACGTGTTCACATTTTTGTAGGTTTCACTTCCATCGCATGTGAACAGCACATGTCCGTTTTTTACACTATCTGTCCATTTAAATCTGCTTTATTACATCTTTTGTGATCTCTTAATCTTATATGAATGTTATTCTCCATCCCGAGCCTTTAAAAGTCCCTGCTGTTGGTGTGCCCACAGACCTTGCTTTCGGGGCCGCCTTTACCCTACTGGAGCCCCTGGGCATAGTAGGATAATGGGGTCCCTGTGACTATGACTTGAAATGAAGCGAGTCACATTGATGAGTGTACAACCGATGATTTTTCTTTAAAATGTGAATGTGCTTAGTATACCATTATATGTATATTTAAATTTATCTAAGCATGCTGAAGTCGGAAAGCCTAATTTTTGGGCGGGAGTAGAAAAGCTTCGCGCATGCAAAAGCTACTAAGTTGGTATTGTAGTCAGTAATTTAGGTTCGATTTCTTCGAATTATATAACTTTTTTGGTAATAAATATTGGTTATCGTTTGGTAATCTGACAGGAACTAGGGACTTTGTATTTGATCTGGGGCCCTTATCGATAGCCGGGCCCTGGGCACTTGCCGAAAGTGCCCACTGGGAAAGAGGGGTCTGCTTGCCTTGGAGAAATGAATACTCAGCACTAAAGGGCTAACAAAATCCGCCCCACAAATTATAGTGCCATTACTGCCATTAAGCTTGTTGATGACAGCAGATGTAGCCAAGACCAACAACTTATCTGTCTGTAGGTACTTACCTTATTTTTTATATAACCCATTCGAAATTAACGCAAATCTAATGTACATCTTACCTTCCACTGCGAAATTGCAAACTCTTCGATTAACGCTTAAAATAATAATAATTTATTTAAACTAACACTCATGATTTTGTCCATGATAATTTCGCATTGGGCGCATGCGAAGATGAGCATAGAGAGGGCGACGCTGTCCACTCCGAAGTACATGTATGCGCTCATGCCTATAGTCAACACCTGGATGGCATAACCGATCTCATAATGAGGGGACGCTTCGGGAGATACGGGCATCCTGTCACAATACAAATAAGTTAGTATATTTTATTATTTTTATTAAAGGGGCATACAAGCTGACTGCTCACCTGATGGTAGGTGATCACAGTCACCTATAGACACCTGCAGCACTAGGAGTACCACAAATGCGATGCCGGCCTTTAAGGAAGAAGTACGCTCTTTTGAAGGTTTCAAGTCGTATGGGTTCGAAAACACTGCTGGTGACAATGTATTCCACAGTTTTGTCCGCAACTATCCGGGCATTCGCCCGTCAGGTCACGTCAGGTGACGCAAGTTTAACAATTTTTACCCATTACAAAAAAAGTGTACAATGCTGCTAAAGAAGTTTTCACTTCAAAAACTTGATCTAAATGTTGTTCAAATATCTAAAATATGTATATAAACAAATTCATACATTTAACTGTCTAAAGTTTCAAGCTTTTATTAGTGTCTACCCTACCTTTGGGCTCTATAGAGTTAGGGATGGGACCTAGGCAACGCCTAATTTTACTCTGGTATGGCGTCTAGCTAGGGATCGTTTGCTGCTTATCAGCAGGTACGTGTTCTTTTGGCACATTTTTCACATAAAAAAATACATACCACATGTCGAATGGAAATTTGCGACTACCCACATCGTCGAATAACGGTTTCATTGCCCAAAGACTGCATGTGAATTGGGAACTGACCATAAAAGCTAGAAGCAGTGCTTTGATTCTAGAGGCTTGTTTACTAAGAATCCTGTAAACAAATTAGGTTAAATGATGTAAATACTTAGGAAAGCTCAAAATGATGGACCTAATCTATTGTGCTACAAAGTAAAGCCCGTATAGCAAGCCTATACAATATAGTAGGAAGCGTGGTGAGAACGTATTCTATGTAAATATATGGTGTACGATACTATCGTGCTATGCCATGAGCTATAAGATTTAATACTAATTAGTATAGCGTAGTCTTAGCGCACCTTTAGACCAGTTTTTTTTTGAGTTTTTGCTAAAATGGACCTTTAACTAAACTTACTGTATTTGTCTATCAGATTGCGGTTGAAAGATTTCGCCGTTCATTTGCTTGAGAAGTTCGCGCAATTTGTCCACGTTCACGTGGAAAACTGACACTTTGAGGCAAAGGCAAGCCTGAGTGAACAGCAAATAAAAAGCCTGGGAGACTGCCTCCAAATCTCCCCAGACTTGTATAATGAAGATTATCTGGAATATAAGAAATAAATACTGCAACGTAATCATCAATGATCTGTACAGTTTATGGAGGAGCGATTCGTTTGTAGGAGGTATCCACACTCCCAAATATTTCATAACAAACTTTGCACGGTTCAAAAAGAGGTCCTCTGGATTAAACTTATGCATTTTCTCGGAGCGAGCGCGTTACCGAGAAATAAAATTGGTAAGTAAAGTTGTATTAAGTAGCAGTAACATTTTCAAAGGGTTTAATTTACAAACCCCACTTATTTCAATTACGTTGACAATTTTCTTAAGTGCTACAATAGATAGTAAATTGATGTCGTCATAACAAAAGATAACTTATGGCAAATGACCTGAAATATTATTAATGGTACCTCTTTTATCTAATTACACTGATTACAAGTACAATACTTAACTACCTATTACCTACATATCCCTACTTATAAATAATATAATTAATAGAGTTTGTATGTTTGTTTCTCAATTACCATAAGGGAAAATACTGCACTCGCGGCTCAAAAGTGATCAATTGTGGTGCTTTGACCACAATTTGCATTCTTTAGTCAGAATTGGACATTCACACACGCTGCATGTGCGCTCAGGGGCGCCTAAACAAACATGTGCAGCGCCCAGATGCGAAAGCCAACAATGCGCCCCCTTTTTCAAAAATTTCGAAAAAATATTTTTTCATTGTGCTACAAAAAAAAATACATAAATAAGCAAGCATACGTATGTATGTATATGTGTATGTATTAAAGTTTGACCGAGTTGACTATAAAAACGCAAAAAAAAACATTAAAACTGACTGTATGTGCTTAAATCGTAAGTTTTTTATGTTGTTTTAAACATTTATTTAAAGTAAAATTGAAGTTGGGTAACGTATGTAGATAGGTAGGTACTATCTACCACCAGATTCATTCAGATGTTGATCGCCCGGCCCGGCTGGCGCCCCCTAGAGCCCGACGCACGGGTGCGGTCGCACTCAGCGCTCCTATGGGAAAGACGCCCCTGTGTGTACTCAATATAACAATATTGCGTAGGTATTTTCTGTGTTATAAAGATAAAACAATGCCTTCGATGCTTTTATAAAGAACACAATACTTTAAAATCAAATAACAAATGCCTCGGCAACAGTTTTCATTCGAAAAACTGTAAAAACGTATTATTTCTAAACAATCACAGTTTTTCGTAATGTTATTTACGTAAGTAATCGCTAGTTGCTAGTTTAGTTAAATATAATACTCAACATTATCAAGTCAGTGCATTCGCCCGGATAGAGAAGGGTGCGGGTTCGTCCCGTCCCGTCTGCTGCCTGGTCCACATGGAGTTTTTATCTTAAAAATATATTAAACTTTAATTGCTATTTCTTCTTTCAAATGTTTAATACTTGTAAAGGTATTCATTTGACATTGTGGGTTACCTACAACGCGAAGAGATGGCGCTGCCTTACAGCTTATGAAAGCTTAGAGAAAATTCGATACGGCCGTCAGGGCCGCGTTAGTATAATGGTCAGTGCATTCGCCCGGATAGCGAAGGGTGCTGGTTCGAGTCCCGTCTGCTGCCTGGTCCGAGTGGATTTTTTTCGAGCAAAATTTTCTTTAGATTTACACATCTAGCTGTTACATGCTTTAAAAATAAAATAGAACTAAATTGTCAATTTGTCATTATTTTACCATGATCTGAATAGTTGAAATAATTAAAGCCACTTTCGCGGCGGCGCGGCGTCCCTACCAAATTTTGTAAATTAAGTTTTTTTTTCTCAAATTATACTTATGGGTTAAATGAATAATTTTGCAATCGTGTTGTTTCCTCCTCTATTTTTACGAATCCAATGAGATCGACTCAATGCCATACGTAGATCATTTCTCTTCAGACGTATTCCAAGTCATCTGCGATTTACAGGGTTGCAAAGTTGCAATGGAACGGGCATCCATATGACATGAAGTTATGGCAGAAACATATTTACGTGTTGTGGTATGTCATGACACACCATAAGCTCATCGGTAAATATAACTATAATAAATAAATATATGGAACCGATGTGCTTCTGGCGCATTACGACATGTCACGACACGTAAATATGTTTCTGCATTTAGAGATGTATTAAAACATGATATTCGGTAACTTCCCTACTATAGACAAAATGAGTAAACCCATGTTCGGATACATGGATATAATGCGATTCAACTAAGAATAGGACCGACTGGGCGCCATATTTTGACGTCATAGCTGTTAATTCAAACCAAATAGGTAGAGTGAGCAAAAAAATGTTTCTATTTAATAAAACTTATTTACTTAGATTTAGTAAGAAAAAACAAGTAAGATGATGATGATTGATAGAACAGCAGCCACGTCTTTAGGGGCGTGGCCTAACAGTTTTGTTATCAAAAAACAGGCACAGAGGACTGGATATATTGCTATCATGTTTTGTTTCAAAAAGTATCTTTATCTTAAAAAAAAATGGTTGCCTGTAAAGTCGGTTTTACGGGCGAAGATTTTACGTGACAACGTCTTTTTCTCGGTAGAATATTTTTTGATATGAATATAATTAAATTGCACAATAGGAACAAGGAATTGAATGAAAATAAGAATTGCACAAATTTTAACTATAGAAATATATTTTGTTTACTAAAACATTGTACATGTAAACTTAAACTTAACACGAGAGACTCATCGTAACGTTACCGAGCGTTACACTTTTTCATAAGTGACTCCCAGCCGCAACCTAATTTAAGACGTTGTCACGTCAAAAAAAGTATTTTTAAAATACTTATCTTGTATCTGGTATTTCAAATATTTTTTCCAAAGGTATCTTGTATCTGTTATCTAAATACTTGACTACCTGGTATCTTGTATTTTAGATACTTTTTTAATGTATCTTTTACATAACTGGACTCAAATGTCGCTTGAAAGGTACGATTTGCAAAAAAATCTTGGAATACATTTTAGCACTAAGCTAATCTTAGAATAAATACTAAACATTTGTAAACAAAAGAAGGAAATAAATCATATTATGTAGCGTATAACTTACTTTTATTATAAATAAAGGTAAAAAGAGACCGTTTTTATTTTAAACAAAGTTGTCGTTTTAAAACCTACATATGTTTTTATAGCCAAAAGCAGCAGTGATGATGATGACGATGATAATGACTACTCTGACGGTAGTGCAGAGATGAGCGGAATTAAAGAGCTAGATTCAGATTAATGTTTCTTCTTACTCAGTCTTAATATTATTATTTATTTATTAAGACTGAGTGAGAAAAACTATTAAAAATATTTTTATTATTAAAATCTGATATTTTCCTCACTTAATCTTAGTAAATAAGTTTTATTAAAGAAAAACTTTTTTGCCCTTTCTACCTGACTGGTTTGAATTTACAGCTATGACGTCACAATATGGCGCCCAGTCGGTCCTTCTCTTAGTTGAATCGCACTATATGTAGGTATATATTTATTTTTTGGCTAGAACTTGACTTTGATTGAACTTGTACATTGTACTCTGAACGCAACTTAATTACTATGTATCCGTGTATCCGAACTTATCCGAACGAAGAAACTGACGTGTCACTTGTCATCTTCGTTTCGCATTAAACGTCAAAATGATAGTCGAGGAGAGAGTTGTATTTTAATAATTTATAACAAATTAGACCTTTTCCATCTATAATGGTGCCTTTTTAATACAATGATAATAATCTGCTATTATGGAGAATGATATTGTTGAGTTTACGTTGCCACCCGCTCCCCGGGGTCTGTGCTTTGATCGTAATGATTTTGTCAAGGTAATTCTCAATTAAATTTATGTGCTTGTTAATAATACTAGGCGTTGTGAATGTTACGTTTTATATTATTTTAGACAAATTTCTCCGTTGATAACTTCTTGGCAGAGCATCAAAATGTGGCATCATTGGAGACTATGCGAGATGATCTGGGTGTGTACCTGAAGGTGCTTCGACTGGCTATGATAGAGTTGATTAACAAGGACTACGCAAACTTTGTCAATCTTTGTGCTACACTCATTGGATTTGACAAAGCCATAGTAAAGATTCAAGTGCCATTGGGTCAACTAAATGAAGAAGTATTGGTAAGGTTTGCTATTGAAGTTATTATCCTCCTTATTCTCCAAATTGTGAAATTTGGTTTAATTTCATTAACGAAGTAAATGCCAAGTTAATAATATTTGGTTTTTCAGAATGTTAATCAAAGTTTAGGAGATGCTATGAAAGAATTGTCAATTTGGCTGAGCCAAAGACATGCCTTACAGAAAAAGAAGCAATTATTAAAGTATTACAGTCAAACTATTAACTGCATAAAGACACTAGACAGCATATTAAAAGATATATCAGAGAAAAAAAAGCAGGAGCAGATATTATTGGCTGATAGGGCTGCAATGCAATATAACCAACTTAAATATTCAACCATGAAGTGTGAGAGTTTAATAAAATCAGAACAAAAAATAAAATACAGTGAAGTTGGTGATAAACTTGTACATGTTTTGAACCAATTGCTTTTTCAATTTTGGAATGATAATGATGAAGCTAATCTTCTAAAAGTATTACTATCATTAGCTTCATTGGATCGTGTTGATGAAACAGAGATGCTTATGAGGAAACAGGCTGTGGCGCCTTTGTTACAAGACATCATAAGTGAATCAGCACTACAGAGAAGTAAAAATGGATTGTTAGGTATCTATGATAGAGTCCTATCTCTATTAGATACCAAATTGAATTTATTCTTGACAGTAACACAACATTCCAAGCTAACATTTCTTGTTAAAAAGTTTAGTTTCCTTGTAAACTGTTTTTGGTGTGAAATAGAGAGTCGAATAGAGGTGAATTTGGCATCTATATTTGCTCCTGGTAATCCTCAGATTTTTTATCAAAGATATAGTGAAAGTATGCAATTTATAAAGAAATTGGAGGAGAGATGTAGTCCTAAGGAAACTGTGAGGGTTTTGAGAAATACACCTGAATATAAAAGTTTTCAAAGGAGGTGGAATCTTCCAGTGTATTTTCAAATTCGATTTCAAGAAATAGCTGGTAAATAATAATGCTTACAAGAAAATGTTATGTCAAAGACAGCAGTTAAGTTATTAAATAGTATTATTTTCTTACAGGAACTTTTGAAACAAATTTACAAAATAATCCTCATATTGGAAATAGTGATGGTTTTATTTTGAAAGAAACTAAGCACTGTTGGAATGCCTTATGGGAATGTTGGGCTGATGGAACTTATATCGAAGCTCTAGCACATAAATTTTGGAAACTGTCCTTACAGTTGTTGTCTAGATATGCAACATGGGCAGCTAAATTCTGCACTCAGGTAATACAAAATTATGTTCAATATAAAACATTTAAATGAAAATGTTAAATATAAATAATTAAAAAATATTATTTCAGACAAATGAAAGCCAATTGGAAACAACTTCTTTGAATAAAGTTCTTATTGATGGTAGTATTAACATATTTAAGGACACACAAGTCTTGTTACAAAAAATTCCACAATTTCTGACAATAGTTGAAGCCAAAATTCCAATCAAAAATAATGATTTACTTCATCACAGTCTTGATTCATCTATCAAATTATTAGAAGGATTGAAAGATAAAATCAGGGACTGTATTGTCAAAGAGTTGTTTAATCATTTCAACATACAGTTAAAACAAGTGAGTGATATACCAAGACTGTACAGAAAAACGAATCGCAGTGTACCTACAAAACCTTGCACATACATAGAAGTTGTTTCCAAAATTTTGTATGAATTTCACAATGATGCAACAAGAAGACTGGATAACGCATTTTTAGTTGAGTTATATGAAGCCTTGTTTAATACTATGACTAAATCGTAAGTACTTATACAACAATGTAAAATATTTATAGTTTATCAATAACTGTACTAATGTTTGTGGTGGTCCAATAATTGGGATAAAAGTATCAGACTGCTTTAAGTGGGTGCATTAGGTGGTCTCTAGTCCACAGTCAAAACCTTTATAATTTAGTTTGGTAATCATTAATAACATGGATTTAGAGAGTAACACTGGTTGAAAAGGTTTGTTACTTCATTAGTATTAAAATTTCAAAGTTTATGAAATTCTTCATTGTGATAAAGGCTGGGCTGGCTGGCTGAGATATTTATATTTAATTAGAATCCTTTTTTATTATTTAGTAAAGTGTGCACTTCTCACCTTAAGTTTTTGTGAGCCAAAGTTTCATTGGTATTGTTGTAATGCACATATATATTGCAAAAAATTAATATTTTCGATATTTTTCTAGATATTATAAATATGTAGAGGATGTGTTGACATCTGTTCAGAAAACAGAAGAGTCATTAAGAAGACTGAAACAAATACGTGAGAAAACACCTCAACAGACAAATGAAGCTAGCGGTATCACAGATGGTGATAAAATCAGGTTACAACTCAATGTTGATGTGGCTTCATATGCAAAGGTGGCAGAGGGCCTGCAAGTTAATGTACATAGTGTGCACAAGTATACAGAACTTTATCGTATGGTTACAGAAGCTGTAAAAAATATAGATATTAAATGATATGCCAAGATTATTGTATTTTTTTTGTGTCGTTTTTTTTAGAGTGGTATGAAACAAAACATAATTTTTAACATAAACATGTATTTGATCAGTTGAATAAAAATTGTATGATTTGAAAAAATAGAAACCATTCACTTATCACTTAAAATAATTAACAAGATAGAATCTTACTAATACTATTTGTGTGGAACAAAATATTTCAAGATTGAGTTCGGTTTTGATTTGTTCGTTGTTCTTGGACTAGTCCTCTGCACATCCGAACTTGAAGGGTTTTTCCACATAGCTTTAAGTTCTTGCTGCATCTCATCTGGGAGGGCATCAAACACTTCCTTATCAACATAACTAGGGCAGTCATCACAAGGACCTCCTTCCATTACATCTTTCATGGTATCAGAGGTATCAGAAAGATTGTCTTTAGCAGGACTTGCTCTAGGTGTTAATGATCTGTCTCTTGAATTCAATCTCAATTCTGATACTTTCTCTAATTCTTTTGAGTTGAGACGAAGCTCACTTACTTTAAGCTTACTTGGTGATGCAACTTCCTCTTTAGCCAAACACCTCCTCTTTGCAATCCACGTTACCTTCTTGGGCTTTTTTGGAGAAGGTTCCACTTCAGCATCAGACAAGTCTGTTGTAGTACTACTACTAGGTGATGCTGCAGAGTAGTCCATAGATGTTGCAGATGTGTCACAGTCATTTTGCAAATTGAGCACAGACTGCACAGAGATATCATTCATAAGGTAATTCACAATTGAACTCCTACCAGTCATCCGCTCTTGAAACTTAGTAAATGCTAAACCTACAAGTGTCAAATGGAATGGTTTTGATAAATCTATAAGCTTATTGAATAATCTCATAATTATTGACATGAGTTTTTGCTGTCCAGCATCTGTAACAATGAGTGTTCCATTGGTAATGGTGAATATTGAAGGTGATATTTGGCATTGTCTGGACTCACGGTGGCTGCTCAATCTTTTAGCATCTTTCTTCCTTAATGTTACTCTTAAAGAAACAGGAATTCTTCCATCTTCTCTGACCAGTACCAACAGTCTTTGAAGTAAAATTGAGATTTTATCTTCTACCTCACTTTTCACACTGACAGTTTTAAAACTATCTTCTAAACCTATGCTCAACGGCTTCCCTGTTTGCTTCACTGGAGTGTTATCTTCCCCTAAACTTAAACTTTTCAGTCTTACTGCCATATCACTACTGAAGTTCTTTTTCAATAATTCAATTGGTACCTGTTGTAAATCACTCACGGATATAATTTTATGTGATATTAAAGTTTCAGTAGTTTTTGAACCAATACTTGGAATGGCTCGAACACTGTCCATTGTAGCCATGAAGTCAATGGCATGTTCAGGAAATATAGTTGTTTGATTATTGGGCTTATGTAATGGACAAATCAGCTTTGCAAGCAGTTTGTTGTGTGCTGTACCGGCACATATTGTGAAACCTAATTCATTGTATACTTTTTGCCTTATATCATTAGCTATTTGTGATGCAGTTTTCAGTCTACTTTGACACCCACATGGGCATTGTATACTTGGCTCTTTGTATAAATGACCAACTAATGCAGTGCAGTTACCTGATTTTTCTTTTTCCTGTACCAGTTTTGTAACATCAATGAAATTTTCGTCCATTCCCAGTTTCTCTACTGGACACTTTAGAGACAGTAAAACTTCGAATATCTTATTAGAAGCCGCTCTGTAATCGTGTAAATCTTCACCATTAACAAGTTTCAAATTGGGGCAAAGTTTCAGTGCGTCAGTAACTAGCATGCACTTCTGGACGCCGTAGTTTCTGGCTTCGTAATTACTAGTGACTACGATGTTTTTCTGTTGAATGCCGAGTGGTACAGAACGTAATTCGGGATTTTTCACCATCTCCACTTGAGCGTAAAAACAGTCTACGTCGATGTGTATAATGCTCCTGGAGTGATCGCCGTCCACGTAGCTGCAAGTAGAACTACTAGACTGCATGATCCTGTGGATTTTAATATAGTTTAGTCGTAATTTACTTTGTTCTGACTTAGTTTTACCTGTTGAGATCTATTGTGATTTTGAAACACAGTTCGCACTTACGCATCGTCCATTTCGGTATCATTGAAAAGCGGAACTTAAAAAGAAATGATAGAAATTGAAAAACTACTTAAAAAATATCGTTTTTATTTCATAAATCTCAAAATATTGATATTTTAGACTTCATGATCACGACACATCAACAGAGAAGAAGTTACCAGCCCAAAAAAAGATTTCTACTATTTTTCTTAATTTTACGTTCTGTGTATTCCAGATTTTCTTTTCACATGTTTAGGAATTAAGATTGTTTAGATCAAAATAGAATGATTAAACAGTTCAATAACAATAACAGAAGTCCATGGACGTCATTAAAGTACCTACGTCCATGCAGAATTCATTTAAAATACCATATTAAATAAAATTATATCCAAATCGAAGAAAACTCATTAATGTAATTCTCTTGCTTAATTGTAGAACGGTATTTAGAAGTACTTTAAAAATAAAATATTAAAGAAATGATCATCGCATCCTTTTGTGTTGGGATTTTAGTTTTTTTAAGCTGCGGTATATTATGGATATAATGCGATTCAATTATGAATAGGAAAGTCAATGACCTCGATCTGTCAAAAGTTGCTTGAAAAGGAGGGTCTGCAAAAAAATCTCGGAACACTTTTTTTAGCACTCAACTAATTCTATAATAATAACCAAACATTTTTCAAACAAACAATAACAAATGTTGATAATTAATATTAGCTGATTTTTTTTCATTTATTGAGGTTTGGCTATGAATGGTTGATAACCTAAATCGGCAACCAAATGTCACTTTATGTTGCGTTTACATATAGGATGCATGTTCGTATGTTACCTGAATGATTATTCAAAACTACTCCTGCGGTAATGCAGAGATGAGCGAAATTGAAGAGCTAGATTCTGATTAATGTTTTTTTAACACAGTCTTAATAAAGAAATATTATAAACCTAAACATAAATTTGACAACAGTGTATCCTTGTCATTTTCTTTATAGAATGAAAAGGAGAGACTGATGTTAAATTTAGTTTTAAGTTTAGAGAATCTTGTTAGAATCGACACCATTAACATATTAAAAAATCTGATGTTTTTTCTCACTTAATCTTAGTAAATAAGTTTTATTAAATAGCAACATTTTTTGCCCACTACCTATTTGGTTTGAATGGACAGCTATGACGTCAAAATATGGTGCCCAGTCGGTCCTATTCTTAGTTGAATCGCATTTAATTGTAAAATTGAGACAAAATGCCTCTGTTGTGACTATCTTACCTATGCTTGGTTTGAGCATCTGTTTAATACTAGTAATCAGTTCGATAGAATACGCCCAATCAAGAATTTTGACAGTTCCGTAATCGTATCGTTTTTTAATAGAAATTGCTAGTTTGGTCTTACGTCCGAAATGAGTTTTGCTGCTTAGTTTTCACAGAATCTTTAACGAGGCGATATGACTACGTAGCTTTTAAAATTGATGCTTAGGCCTCTGTTTATAGCACGTCCATAGGCAAATTGCTTTTGGTAAAACGTTACTGGGCAAGTTTTGACAGCAGTGATTGATCAGTTTCGTTCTGTACTGTATTTCGTATGTCCATGGTTCATGCTTTCCAGAAAGTGTTCTGTGTACTGAAGCACTGATGGTGACTGGCAGTAGCGATGAACAGATGATATAAGCATCGATGTCATTTCTTAGTTGTTTACATCAATAAAAAAATGGTTGCCTGTAAAGTCGGTTTTACGGGCGAAGATTTTACGTGACAACGTCTTTTTCTCGGTAGAATATTTATTGATATGAATATAATTAAATTGCACAATAGGAACAAGGAATTGAATGAAAATAAGAATTGCACAAATTTTAACTATAGAAATATATTTTGTTTACTAAAACATTGTACATGTAAACTTAAACTTAACACGAGAGACTCATCGTAACGTTACCGAGCGTTACACTTTTTCATAAGTGACTCCCAGCCGCAACCTAATTTAAGACGTTGTCACGTCAAAAAATAAATAATAAAAGTTGTTACACATCAAAAACATTGTTATTATTTAATCGATACTGTTTTTAAACAGTACAGTTTATAATATTTCGATAATAAACTTAACGTGCATCACTAGCTGTCAACCATATCACGTCAATCACGTCATAATCATCTCTCTCATAAAAAGTGGGTGTTCAAGTACACAATGCAATTGCAAATTTAACAAATAAACAGACATTATGATTGTTATTCCACAGTAATAAGTATATAAATCCATAACATGGAAGGTTTACCATCAGGAGATGTTCAAGGGAAATACCAGAAATTGGCAACTGAATATTCTAAGGTACAAATTCGATTTTCCATTGCGGCGAAAAATTAACTCTAATTTGCTTATTTGTTTTATTATTTCCTGTACAGTTAAGGGTGCACGTAAAGGTATTAAAGAAAGGTGTACTCGATGAACAAGCGAAATCTAATGAGTTAAGAGATTTACTAAAGGAAAAAGAGAAGTCTCTACGAAGAGGAGAATTGGAGATAGATTCTTTGACTTTTAGAAATCAGCAGTTAACTAGAAGAGTTTCAGTTCTCCAAGAAGAGTTAGAAGCGTTACAGGTTTGTTGCTCGTTCATGGTAACTTAACATCCTTAGACTAGTCAATTGGTTGTTAAGTTATTGGGAACACTTATTTATTTTTGTAGTTGAAATTTAATAAAAAATCAAAAAGCAAAGGAGATGACAAGCAAGTTGGAGCTGCAAGTAACATACCGCCTCTTGACTCTGGTTTGTTGCAAGAAGAATTGCAGAAGAAAATTATTGAAAATGCCCAATTTGCTTCACAGGTATTCTTAAATTCCTTTATTTAATTTTAAGTTATATGTAAATTGTTCAATATGCATATGTGGGTATAGCTTTCCCTATGAATTTACCTCAACATAGTCAAGTGATAGGAGTAAAATAGCATTTGGTAATGATTTTTTTTACATGACATTTCAGTAGTGCATTTTTAACAGAATAAAATATGAGAACAAGTTTTATAAAAACTGGCAGATTTAACTTTTAACATCTGTTTAGTTCATCAATATCATTATTAATATTTGAGTAATGTGCTGAAAAGATATATTTAGCAAAACTTCATTAATTTCTCATCATATATTATTTATTGTGTGTTATCAATTTATTGTTACTTCAGCTTTCAGATAAAACTTTTGAAGTATCACAGTTAAAGGCATCGTTAGAAGATTATCAAAAGCATATAAATGAAAGCGACAGTAAATATAAATGTGAGATAGCAAAGTTGAAGAACAAAAACCAGGAATTGCAATTTGCCCTGGAAGAGGCCCAGAAAGAGAGGCTTGGTGGCACCCCCAATAAAATTCAAGTGGTATCCAGTCAACCTCACAGCTGTAATGGTGATTTCCTTTCGGAAGGAGGCAGTTTGGTAATATGTTTATATTTGTTATCTAATATATGAAATTCTCATGTCACAGTGTGGATAATCTGAAACGGCTCAACCGATTTTCATGAAATTTTATATGCATATTCAATTCTTAGTAGATCTAAGGATCAGACAAATTTTTCATTCCCCTAAATGTTAAGTGGTGGTCCATCATTTTTTTTTATTTTGGGCAAAATTTTTCTGTTTTTATTTTATGATACATCATACAAAAACACATGCAACCCTAAATTTTCACCCTTTTACCACCAACCCCTATTTTTTTATGGTGATAAGAAGTTTGCTGGGACAGCTAGTATTACTATCAAATTTTAATAACAGTCAAATGACCAGATATAATCATGCTTAAATTTTGTATTATATTGAAATTAGCTCTATGTATATCAAGATGCTTATTAATAAATTCTGTTCACTTGCAATTTCACTACCACCTATACTTCTCTTTTTAAAGCATTATAACTTTTTCATTTCAGATTGGAAGTGAGGATGCTTTAAGTTCTATAGATGACTTGAATATAAATGAACAACTCGGTTTGAAGACTCATACATTAGAACAGGTAAATAAAGTTTGTGTATGAAGCAATTTTAAGTAATAAAAATATAAACATTGCATATAAATTGTGTTTTATAATAAAACTAGCGGCCTGCTCTCGCTTCGCTTTGGTGTAGAGCTGAAGTGTAGACTACAGTTTTTGTTCTCAGACTTGTAATATACACAATGACATTCATCTATGATTCTTCTTATACCTGCATGCAAAGACTCAGCTCGATCGGTTTAAAATTGACAAATTTTCATACAAACTTTCATTCCCAATTTTATCCCCTTGGGGGTAGAAATAATCAAAATTCTTTCTTAACGAATGCCTACGTCATAACGTCTGTAATTAAAAAATTTGGCATGCAGGTTTGCCAAATTTCAGCCCGATCCATCTAGTGGTTTGGACTGTGCTTTGATAGATCACTATGTCAGTCAGTCAGTCACTTTTGAGTTTTATATATATAGATAACTATGACAGTGGTGTCAATTCTAGGGTAATTCTCTATACAGAATGAAAAGGAGAAACTGATGTTAAATTTGGTTTAAGTTTAGAGAATCGCACCAGAATAGGCACCATTGTAGTATTTGTGACAGTATTAATTTAAACATAATTTAGTTTTTGACTATTCTATTTTTACGCTTACATTTATTTTGTTAGGAAAACCAAAAACTACGAATGGAATATGAGCTGTTACAAATGGAGAATGATAGTCTTAAACTAGAAGTGTCCAAATATGTATCAGCATCACAGAAAAGGAAAGGAGAGAGCCATGATTCTGGTGACTTCAATAGTTTTAATGAAACGTCTATTGATGCTGAAGGGAAGCTCACAGGCCTGCTGGGAAGCATGGAGGTGCCTTTCCTACTGAACCATGAAGTCCAAGCTAGAGAAGAGAGGGTGAAAACTTATTTTAGGAATAAAATTAGTAAATTGGAAGGTGAGAAGGATGAATTGAGAAGTAAGACTGAACATTATGTCACAGAGGTAAGTTTTAGTTTTATCTTTGTGGCCAGAACTTAAATATTATACAGACATCATATCTTTATGCAGACCGTGTTGTTGAATTGTAGACCTGGGTCATCAATTTAATGCATTTTAACATATTTTTTTTAATTATTGAACCTTAAATATATTATGTAGGAAGATTTATTGTAAAATGTGTGCCATACTCATATTTTACCATCTGTGTAGAATATAAATCCATTTTAGCATGAAGTACTTTTTTTTATCTTTATAAAAAATTGTTTTAGTGTGAGATGTTAAGGTTGAGATTCGAAGAGATGGAACGGGATAAGGAGTTAGATAGACACACCCTCCAAGAAAAACATAACACTATCAGTCGGCTGGTGAGTACTTTTTTATATATTTTTAATTATTATTTATTTATTGTTTATAGATCAGGAATACACAATTAAAAGGTTAACGTCGGCAGCTGCAGTAGTATATAGTGGCACAGCTGCCTGCGTCTTCCATCTTCGGGGAAAACAAATACAAGCAAAGAAAGCATTAATGACACAATACAACAACAAAAAATGGTATCAAATTACAAAAAAAGCGATTTCTATGTTTGTCGTAGAAGACTTACTCCTACTTAAGAATTTTGGCAGGCTAATTTCTGGCCATGAAAATAAAACTTAAAGGGTTTAAATGGGTGATGAATTTTGTGTGGGGAAACAAATTACACCATGCGGAAGAAGATGCTGGCACCTGCGATTATAGTGCGATTAAAATTTAATGGCAGCTGTGAAGTTAGACAAAATCTAGGGTAATGTAGGCGCGCGCGTGATGTCGTGTTATTTACCTGGATTGAGGCATTGGATACTTTTTCAGCTAGAAAAATTTTAGGTTACAGAAGGGTTTTCTAAAAAATAAAGTTAACACCGATAATAATGTATATTAAATGTTAAAATGGATTTCTTTGAAATTTGCAACAACATTATAGTTTATTACTTTGCTTGAGTCATACAATACATGTTAGCTTCCTGATGGATTCTCGAAAAACTAACTATGTATAACGAGGAATAGTCGAGTAGCCGTTTCATACTTTCGTTCTCACAGGAAGAAGAACTCCACTCGACGTCCCACAACTATGAGGAACAGATGTCAGTACTGACAGAGCACGTGGCTGGACTCAACGATCAGCTGACGAGGCAGCATGACCAAGTTCAACAACTGAAGCACCAGCTATCGAATCGCAAGAAGTAGATGGAAGTTACCAGACAGAGGGCCTACAAAAATAAAAATGATAATTGAAACGAAGTCCGTCATTCAATCTTTACTCTGTTTTAAACTGATTCTTTTCTTTGTTTGCTTAGTCTTATCTTTTAATTTATGCAACGGATTTTAATGCAGTTTTCAACAATAGACAGAGTGATTCAGAAGGAAGGTTTAAATGTATAAAACATGTCCGGGAACTAAAATTTTAGCGAAGTGAGGGCTGGTTTCTTGTTGCCTGTATATTCTTATAGACCTTAACTCTTTTAGTAACGAGGTTCAAAATTTAAGCTTTCATAAACGGCTAACGTCGGCCGATTTTGGTTTATATTTTTGATTTAAGCCCTAAGGTCACTATAGAACCACTGTTCTTCCTCATACAGGCCGTAGCAAATTACCCCGACTGCATAAATATTCTCCATTCATAGCCAGCCTGAAACTTTTTCAGACCCTGTAGAACTATGGCAACCTCTTAATGCAGATTCAAACCTACACTTTATTAAATATTTGTTTTGTTTTAATTTTATTTAAGCATTTAACTGCTAGATGTTTAAATCTAAAGAAAAGTTTTACTAGAATTTTTTTTTCTTTAGATTTAAAATTTATTTGTGTTTTTCCATTCTGTCCTCTTGTAAAGAATTCTGACTCTTCTCATTTTCTCATAGTAATCATAGTTGCAATAGCATACATATAGCACACATATACCATAGTTTTTTTTTCTTGTCTTATTTACATTTATATGCTACATTTGGTAGCAAACTTGTGACTGTTTAATGTATAGTGAAAGAGGTTGCTGCTTCTTTTGCACAATAAATAACTGGGGTGACAAGCCATTTTTAAATTTGTTCAGTTTTTTCCCACTAGACACGTATTGGTTACTTTTAAAAATATTTAAAACAATGTTACACATACGTGTACGCTACGTAAAATGACGTCCTGAAATGTATACTACTAAAACGGTTTGCAGTAAGAAAATATTCTTTGATTAATCTGATGCCCGCACTTCGCTTGGCTATTCGTGTTTGCTATTTGTTATATTGACAGCAGGTTGTCCTTATCACACTCTATAGAGAATGAAAAGGATAGACTGTTGTTAAGTTTACAAATAGCGAACACGAATAGCCAAGTTAAGTGCCGGCATCAAAGCTAATGTATAACTACAACTCTATCAGCAATAATTTTCATAGGTAAAATGTGCAGGGCAGGATTTACGGCAGGACGTGAGTGGCCCGAGCCCACATTTATTGGCCTCCACACCTCTTAATACGGCCCTGTCAATGTGACGTAAACTGATCTCTTTCCCAAATAGAAATGAAGGGGTTCGCGGAAGCTGTAAAAGTTACCCAATTAAGCACCAGCAGTGCTTGGGCAAGTGTTGGAAGAATTTATTACTTTCTTTCTTACATAATATGATATTTACAAACAAATAGGAGTCGCCGTGGAGTTGGTCAAAATGTATAACACAGAGCTATTTGTTTATATATTCGGTTTTCTGTTTTAATATCAATCGTGACGTATGGTGTGGTGTTGTTTATTTTTGAAGTGTTTTTAGCAACATATTAAACTTGATTCTGGCATGACTCTCTTAGGCCCTTATTGCAGAATGACAACTAACATCCGTATTCACAAACAATACTTGTTTAAGTAAAGTAGCAACACTGTGCGAAGTAAGACATTTCTCAGTGCGTTTTACTTGGCAAGCCTTTCAATTCATAAACAATACTCAAATGACTCTTCGCTATGAGAACGCACAGCGTTAAATAGAGTTCTGCGATTGGTTCGTTTATGTTACGTATTTCTCACCGCTCTGAATGACATGTCTATCATTTGTCAATTGTCATAATTCATAACCTTTTTAAATACCAAACAGTGCTTGAGAGCTATTTTGTGTTTCGTGGTAATAATAATTAATTAGATTGTAGCGTCGTCTAAATTCTTCTGAACTGTAATAATCAAAAGGATTTTGGAAATATCGTATCATTTTTCTGGTACTTATTCTGTTTTGCTCATTGATATAATTATCAAATTCTTCTTCACTACTGTAATCCATTGTAAAAGAACGCTATTATTTTCGAATACAGCCGCAAACAAAGAAAAAACAAACCTCGAACAGCAAATAACAGTCAACGCAAATAACCTAAAATTTTGACGAAGTCAAAAAGAAAAGAACAATAGGCACTATGCGTTGCGTAATACAGCTAGCAGGCTACCTTGGCTGTGCGTTCATTATAAGGGACGCATAGTGCCGGTCGCCACTCAAGTATTGTCTATGAATAGGTTTTTCGGACCCTGTGCGTTAACGCACCCTGTGAGACCTCATAGTAATGTTTATGAATACGGGTGTAAGTGTTGATCTTTATTTGAGTACAGTTAGAAAGGGATGTCGCTATGTGCTATATAGCGACATCCCTTTCTATCTATGCTCAAGACTAGATCAATAACTGAGAATCTTTCTATAATACGGGCCTTAATCTAAAATTACTACTACTAACTACATCCTTCTCATGTTTTACGAAGAACGACAAGGAGACACTGCTGTTTAAATTAGTAAAGCGTTGAACTGCTACATGTTGAGCTAGATATAATAAAATAGAATAAAATTGCTATTTTCTCTTTCAAATGTTTAATATGGTTTAATTTAAAGGTATTCCATTTGACATTGTGTGTTACCTACAATGCGAAGAGATGGCGCTGCCTTGCAGCCTAAGAAATTCGACACGACCATTAAGGTCGCGGTAGCATAATTGGTCAGTGCATCCGCCCGGATAGCGGAGAGTGCGGGTTCGAATCCCGTCAGTTGCCTGGACCGCGTGATAGTAAAATTTTCTTAGATTACCTTTTAAACTTCAGAAAACAATGCCAGAATCGGTCCTATTGAGTATCTTTTATTCCCATTGCAGTTTGGTAACAAATCGGGCTAAAGTGAAATAAGTTAAATAAATAAGAGCGAAATATTCCCCAGCGACTCCTGTTGTGCGTAAGATACGAGCAGTCTAACTATCGTACTGTAAGTGTATAACCTATAATGTTGAGTCTTGTGATGGCCTGTAATATAATAAAACTCATTTCGGCTAGTGATATCATTAGACTTGTGTGAAAATTATTGTACAGTCAGCAGCAGGTTAAATTACCCGATACTGGCAAATTTCTACAACTGGCTTTCAGCTTTATCCTGCTTGATATAACGTTTAGAATCGGTTGTGAAATTTAGATATTGATTTACATTTAGACATTTAGAAAGACCGCAATAAACGTTAAGTAGTAACAAAGTACAACTTCTCGTATGATAATCTAGTAATCTGGTTTTTTATTTATAGTATGATGATTACAAATATAATCATACTAAATAATAAAAAATAATGTAAATGTAAATCATAAAAAATAATGTATCTACGTTTCATCATCAGTTTGGCAGATGTAATGTAATTTTGTGTGTATATTTTTTTTTGCTGAATAAATAAAAAAAAACTGTGTATTCTAATAAATAAACAAAATTAATGTAAAGCAGAACAATAACCAGCAAGTAAATAAAAAAATACTTTGTTTTTTTTTTACTTTGGAGGGAAGTCCGCTATGATGTAGTACCTCTCTTTGCAATTATATCGAATAGCTGCTGCTGTTGTACAGTACTGTGATGTGATTGGTTATACAAATATGAATTTAGCACTGAAATTCTAGGTCAGACTTATGAAAAATTCCATAATTGTAAACATTGATGTACGCGACAGTATGTTGCCAGAATAAATAAAATTATATGATATTATTGATACAAATACAGATTTTATATAAAATGTCCGCCTGTACAAATGTAACGTCGTTTGTAAAATACAAAGATTACAACAGGAATTTCATATTTGATGTAACAAGTGAGATTAATTGGAATTATAAAAATGATCAAAATTAATTTATATGTATGTACTGGAAAAAAATATATTAAGGTTTTATTTTAGGATACTTCTATGTACGTATATGATTTTTCATCAAATGAAGAAATGTATAGTCATTATAATGAATTCCTTATCGATGCTTTAGGATTTGTATTAGTTATTTAATTAAATTAATCACATTAAATATTTTTTATTGTAACGTAAATTGATTTGACTATTTTGCAATGAGATCCATAAAGTAATAAATTATGTACACATGTATAAAATTCAATGGAATCTGAAATTAAATAGGTATTATAGAATTTTATTATGGTCAAATTATGCATAATAGTCTCGATTAGGCATCTATGCAAGGATGTCATAAACAAACTTTTATTTTTTAACTAATTTAGCGTTTTTCATCAGATTCCTGTTCAAGACTATGACGTATTGAAATTGGCCTTTATCTAATTAAGAGTTATTCAGTGATAAAATTATTTATGTGCATTATATGTGTTTTGTATATAGCGTTCAATAATTGATGCCGTTCAAGATCAAAAAAATTTGAAGCTTGAGAATTTATGTGTCGTATATCAATATTTTTCAAACATTTTAAGGACCACTTGTAATAACATTTTTGAATTTCAGCTAAAACCCGTTTAATTTAAAATTAATCTTTGTCAACTTTAAAATAATATTTGTCAACTGCTTTATGTTAAATAGAGATAGAATATAGGTTAAAATATGATTTCAAGTTTCATTTGACAACTTTGGCGCAAGTGGCCTTTAATGTAGAGCAAAGGAGATTGCTCAGCTTCCATACATGTTTGGCCTAAAGACCAATAATCATGAAAAAATATTTCCTAGATTCGAAATTATATATAAATTACTGTAGAAACGAATATTATTGACGGACACCCCTGAGAACTTCTATAAACCATATACACTGAACATATTAAAATAATAAAAAACAAATAAGTTATATAGTAAACTAGGGAAATCAAGCCAAGTACCGAAATTATGGATTAGATTCAGGTATATAGAGCATGTAGATTAACAGATAGTTGCCTGTTTTTAAAGTTAATGCATAAGAGTAACTTTTAAAATCAGGTGTCATTTCCGGTTATAATAAGGTACTCTGTGACAGAAACTGTGTGATGATTGTGAATGAGCCACAGATTAGAGAGAATTTTCAAACTCTTGTTAACCAAAGAAAGCTAAGAGATTTAGGTTCTA